GCGAGTTCCGTACCGGTCACCTGACTGGTATCCACCAACACAAACAGCAAGGCCGCAAAACAGCAGCAGTTGCTTTGGTATGAATTTGGTATGTTTTTGGTATGTTTAGATGTGCCATCATTTTCATCATTTAACCAGCTCGGAGATTCGCAAGGGCAAAGTGCATTGCTGGCAAGTGCAAGTTGCTGCAGGTTGCCCCTTTTTTGCAACTCTCTTCCAGTGTAAACCCCGTTTTTTTTTTCAGAATATCCTGATTCATGGTTGACATCTAGGGGTCCACAAGAATAGTCATGACTTGAGTTTTTGTTGCAACGCATCAATTCTTCCCCCATCGCCGTTCAGCGTTCACCTTCCCTTGATCAGCCAAGGGACAGATAAGGCTCAGCGGAGTTCTGGGGTATCTTGACCGACATCCAAACTCAATGAAGTGAATGAGCCAGTAGCCTCTGTGGTGATCTAACCTAATGTTAAGTAAGGAAGTCCTATAATAGAACCATCAAACATGGTGGATGATGTGGATGTCGCTTTCAGGAAGATCGAAGCCAGAAAACGGGCATTTTGTTCTGCCATCATTGTGACGACTTAAGGGACCTGCAGCAATGGACAACAGATCCGACTGGCCACTTGCCAAAACACACTGCTCGAAGAGACAGCGTGGCCCGGCTTCAAACCACCTGGTTTTAAGGGAGGTTTGGTCCAAAGGTCCAGTGAACCCGGAAGCATAAAAGTATCGGTTCACCAACATTTTGCTAGCCACTTTCTCGAGAATTTACAGTAACTGTAATAGGCAAAAAGAACGACGATGTTAATCTAGAGTGCGGAGGTTCCTCATTTTGGGATATTCTGAAAATCATCCAGCCAGTTTGTCATTGTGAATGGGAACCAATGATCTTGGGGTCCCCCGTTTTGAGAACTCCCCAATTGGGTTACCCTCTGGTAAACATACAAAAAGCGACATGGAAAATGGCCATATTTATAGTGGATTTACCCCTTGAATCCCCTTGAACATGGTGAGTTTCCAGTTCGTTACGTCAACGTTTACCAGGTCGGGTATTTCCATCGCCCATTGCCATGTTGGATTCCCCCATGGCCCATGGTTGTTGGATCCTGGGCCCACCAGTGTCCTTCGATCTGGGGATCTGAGCAGCGATGGTTCTACAAACAGCGAGTCGTTTCCGCTAGCGTTGCTGGTTGAAGCAAAATTGAAGCCATTCTTGTTGGGCAAAAGATGTCAAAAAGATGACAAAAAGATGTCAAAAGATGTCATGTCTGTTGGCTAAAGCATCATAATTAATATTGGTGGTTGAGACATGTTGGTTGACCCATTTTTCCTGGTGAAATCACCATTGTTCACGGGGAACTGCCGGTCAGCAGACAGCTGGCGACCCCTTGGTTTCTCTGCGGGTTCATGAACCTTCACGGACGCGGTGTGCGCCTGTGCATTGGCTGACGCAACAACCCAACCATGAAGCCCTATTTTTGTTGGTTTTTGTTCAAAAGATGAAACCTTAGTTTTTTGAGGAAATTGCTTGAAAAAGACAAAGGCCCGGGACAGGTAGGTGGTATCCTCTATTGTTGGACCAGTGATGCCAGCTGATCCAGACACCCTTCAAGTGATCACGATGGGAACGGTTGAGCACAGGAGGTCTATGGAGGTGTGGAATTCAACCTGAAGGGCACATACTGCGACCCTGATGCTGGGTGTAACAGGATGTTTATAACATTTTATAAACACATGGGATGGTAAAGACACATTTGTTTGTCTGAAAACAGTGTACCCAACCCAAAGCTTAATCATCATTCTCCCTGTTAAATGGCTACAATTTGGGGTATGCTCCATTTCCAGAAACAAAACATGAGGAGTTTTGGACATCCTAGGATTCGCATACCCATCTCGCTGGTCCCTGGTACCAAGACTTGTATGCAGGGAGCATTTGCCTGCACGAGCCCATGCGTTTCCTGTCTTTTAAAAAGCCCTTGGAAACCAACTCAACCATTAGGTCTCCGAGAGTATCATAAATACTTATGATGATGAAGCAGTTGGTTTTAAGGTCTTTTCAAGTATGATATTCTGAGATATTCTGACGCAGTTTTCTGGGACATTGCAACCTCATGAACATGCACATTTTTTTGAACTGGTTCATAGCGTGGAATGATTGCGTTGGTGGCTCCCGCACGGCACAGATCTTGTATAGTCCGCACATGTCCGCGCTCACCATCCGAGACCGTTCCGATTCCGCACGGCTGTTGGCTGGGAGGTGGTTCCGGCATTAGCCCACATTCAGCTCAACCCGACTCGATCCACTTTTTTGTGACCCCAAAATGAATAGAGATTTATGATAAAAAACCATAGGAATGTGGTGAACCCAACATTTTTACCACCAAATTTGCCAGAAATATTGCTGGCATAACATGTATGAAACCATCCCCAGAAGGGTTGTTGATTCTTGTGGTTCCCGCCACTCTGGGGTTACAACCATTGCCACCATAAACACCCAGGTTGCCCTTGTTGCAAGAATTCTCTTCCAGCATTTGTTTAAATGATGGCACCCCCAAATCTTCCAACATTAATTAGAACATGTTAGTTTTGAAATCCATGAGTTTAGGGGTCTGCCACTTGAGGAAGTATCCAACTATCGTGTAATTTACTATATATATATATACATACATGTTATTTAAATAACAACATTGCAAGATATGCACATCACATACGCAGAGAATCAGAGTCTCATTATTCTAGATCCTGCTTTAGGGTGTTCCATGGCCAAAAATCAGGAGCCAAACCCGCCTGCACGAGGTCCAAAGCAGGTGCAGAAACGAACAAAAATCATGAATCGCATTATGTGGGTTGGCAATACTACTACAAACCAATTGGCGACGTTTCTACATGTACCACTGTACAATGTGTTCATGTTCATCCCTCGCTATAAAAAATGCTGGTGGAACTCAATGGTCTAGTATAATGATGTCTGTATCTTGTGTTACAACATGATGTTTTATACATGTATAGATATGTATAGATCATATAATATTGTCATAACACATTACTTTGTATTGAACGACACTATATCATCATGTTGTTCATTCAGTGTTTTGTTGTCTTGATCATTCTATGCTCTATTATAGTATCGGGTAGCGCACTTCCGCACTTCGATGTCGTTCCACTACTACTGTCACTGTTGTGATCATTGATTCGATGATGATGATGATGACGACGACGACGACGATGATGATGATGACGATGTTGACGATGACGATAACGATATGATTTGATTTATATGTTTAGATCATGTGTTTCTCAGAGTCTCAACGTATTTTGGGGGAATTTTGCTTAGCATCCACTGCTCGGCCCACTTACCCAGCCCTAAGTGGACGCAGCTCCGGGCTCCGGAGTTGTTGCCAGCGTTGGAATCCAAGGCTGTGCGAGGTGAGGTGACCCACCCTGGGGCTTCCCCAAAAGACACGTTGGGAGTGTCTCAACTATTCTCAACTTCGACTTAGCTAGATTTATATGATTTATATGATTTATATGATTTATATGATTTATAATGATTTATAATGATTTATAATGATTTATAATGATTTATATGATTTAGAATGATTTATAATGATATGTAATGATATATATATATGACTATATGTGATTATATATGTTAGGTTGGTCAGCCGTCAGCCCCTATTTTCTGTTTAAGGTCTATAAGGTCATGTGTTTTTTTTGAAGGTGGGAAAGGACCCACACATCGATGCGTTTTGTTGCTTACACAACTGCTTTTGAGCTATTTGACCGTACTCACAGTAGATTGCTATCAATTGACCATTCTCAGAGGAAGGTCTGTTGACCGTGACTCCTGTGTTCTGGGAAGTTCTGGAAAGCCCCGTTCAAAAGTGGGCCTCGATTGTCCGTTCAACGCTTTTTGCTGTGGCCCAGCTTGCCCATGGGTACACTGACCAGTGCACCTTTGCATGGGCTGCCATCAAATTGTGTAAAGAGGATGTCGTAACAGCTGGACCCATAAGTGGCCTAGAAAAAAGAAGCTCGGACACCGAGAATGGGAGGGGGCAGGTTGGGCCCTGAGATACGCTGAACGGCGCCCTCTCGGAAGATGTAAATGAACATCCCCAAGTGACATGCAAGAAATATGTGGTTCGACCCAGAATCATTGAACTATTGCAACCCTCAAAACGGTGATTGAAGGTTTAAACCATGTTCAACGACAACAATTTCTTTCATGACCTTTATGGGATGTTTGAATTCAAAGGACTGAATGTTCGTTGTGGTCCAACCTGGAAATCTTCCTGCATGGTATTATTGAAATGTTGGATATGAGTTGGCGCCAGCAGGGTTGGTACCCACAGTCATTTGGGTATGGGTGGAATTGAACGTCAGTTTGACGCATTGATTCTCAAATTGGCGGGTCATTTATTGCATTGAAGCATCCATCCAGCGTTTAGGATACCCATTGTATCGACCCATAGACGTTACCAACTACCAAGTAATCACTAGATTAAGAGTTTGTGGTATCCGAACATGTAGGCCGTTTTGAAACGATATGTTCAGGAGGCCATACATATACATTGTACATTTACACATCTACACATATTAATATAAGTGTACATGTACATACACAACTTATGTATATACAGTATATGTACATGGAGGTGTCCTCAAAGGTGGTACCCCAATGGTACCCCAATGGTACCCCAATAGTTGGATGGTTTATACTCGAAAATCCCACAAAAACAAATGGGTGATTTAGGGGGTACCCCCATGACTTAGGAAATCTCCATATTTCATCATATTTCTATATATATATATATATGTATGTATATACACACGCTCCAGGGAAAAAAGTATATACACATATTATATACCAATAATATATATATATATGTATATCAATAATATATATATATATATATCAATAATATATCAATATAAATATTCGAAAAAAAAACTCTTGAGCCAATCTTGGGGATCATGGAGCACAGTTCTTCGCCAGAACCTCTTCCCCAAGAATCACGAGCGCTGGGCGCACAAGGTGGATGCTGTCCGGGGACCTCAGATCAGATAGACCTGCGAGCTGAAAATCTCAAACGATTGGAACCGATATTGATATAGGTAAACCATTTTTAATAGGTAAACCATGGAAAATCACCATTTTTAATAGATAAATCGCAATTGTTAATAGGTAAATCACAATTTTTAATAGATAAATCACCATTTTAAATAGGTAAATCACCATTTTTAATAGGTAAACCATGGAAAGATCCATCCATTTTTAATGGGTCAAGCATCATTTTTAATAGGTAAATCACCATTTTTAATGGGTAAACCATGGAAAGATCCACCAATTTTTACTGGGTCAAGCATCTATTTCTATGGTTCATCTATACCATGGCTATGTAACAAATAACCAGAGGGTAGATATTGATTTAGGTATAGACATTGTGGTTGATGTAGATGGAGATATTGATTTGGATATTGACGATGGATACAGATATGTACATATTGTTTATTTAATATAGATTAGATATTGATATGAGTTTTGAGTTAGATTAATCAACAAACAAACATAGAAATAATACAATAATACATAAGTAAATGTAGGGGGGGAATGCAATTGAATCTAGCAAGTGCCGAATTTGATATGATGCACGGAAACAATGATTTTTGTGATATGGGGATATACAGTTAACTTGAACTTAATAACGTCATTTTCACTGAAACAGTTGATATGTGTCACGTAATGATCTTGTTTCCTTGCAGACATGATATAGGGACGATCCCCCCGGAGACATAAAACACATCCCTGGTTTACTGTTTTGGCAGATATTGATATGGAGGCTTCCATAAACGAGGGTACCCCAAGATGGATGGTTTATAGGGAAAATCCCATTAAAATGGATGATTTAGGGGTACCGGGGTACCCCTATTTTAGGAAACCCCCATATGCTGGTTTGCTCCCTATATTCGAGGTAAATTCAACTGACTTTCCAATACAATAATAGTTTCGAGCCTTTATTCTGACCATCCGTTTCGGGATCGTAGAGTTTCCCACTGCCACCAAGAAGACCCCACAAGTATGAGTGGCTACCCGTTTCACGGGGCTTGTATACCCATGCTTGTAATATATACCAGTATAAACCCGTCTTCGGGTTTTATGATATCTACATTCATGGTGGGTCTGCCCAATATCATATATGCATATATATGCAATGTGCATCTATTTGCAAATTTAATGGATGGTCCTGTAATTCCAAACCAATGATTTGTGTCCTTGATTGAAGCCATTTCTATTGCTTATGCTACGATAGCGTCATGACTCACCCATTTTCCGCGCATCCTAAGCCGGGCCGGGCCAGAATTCTACTTGCTGAGGGAACCCGCGAATCCTTGGATTCGAAGTCAGATGGAAAGTACTGGAGCCCAGTGCCATGGGGAGTGCCACATTCTGCGGATGTGGTGCTGGTCATTTCTGGGGTTCTTGCTGCAATGTGTGTATTAAGGATGTATATATATACACACTGTATATAATTTTTACATATATATATATATACAACTCATATATATAGTGTATATGCATTTGTACATGTATTTATTATATATATATATGTCATCTATAGATGTGCATAGTAAACATGCATGTAGATCTAAGGGTTTGGAGTCTTGACCTGGAAGTGATTTACTGCTGAAAACAGCCGCGTGTCTCTAGCACAAACTGGCGCATGTGTGTGTGTGTGTCTTTGTAGTGTGTGCTGGTGTGCATATATATATATACAGCCGTATACACATATGTATATATTTATTTATATATATATACATATATATATATACATATATATATATACATATATATATACATATATGCACTTGTGGAAGTATCACGGCTAGCCAAATTCCAAATTGGAGTAGATGCTAGTTAGGCTAGCTGGACTTGAGTTCTTTACATTTTTTCCGGGGGGAGTTTGGAGTCTGATGACTTTTGCTCGTCGTACTGTATCTTGAACTGCGGAGGGAGAAAGTACCTTCCCACGATGTCTTCTGCTGGTTGATATCCTAACGGCTGTCAACGGTCCCGAAAGTGGCACTCTATCTCAACAAAGTTTGGTGCGTAGTTTCTCAACCAAACTTCATGAGCCCCCGTTACCTCAGTTTAAGTTTCACTTGTGTCACTTGTGCCTCTTTGGGATGGGGCGGCACCAGTTTTTCCGAGGAAGATCACCTTGGAGCGGATGCCTTTTCCTGTCGGTGAACTCAAACGGCAATCGGCGAATGGCTGCTGGTTGATATGATCAAAGCATCATTACCATCAAATATTGATATAGGTAAACCATTTTTAATAGGTAAACCATGGAAAAATCCACCCATTTTTAAATATTTTTAATAGGTAAATCACCATTTTTTAATAGGTAAACCATGGAAAGATCCACCCATTTTTAAGAACGGTAAACCATCTATTTCTATGGGCCATCTATACCATGGCTATGTTAAATAACCAGATGGTAATAGGGGTTTAAACATGTTTAAGCCATCAAATGTTGAGGATATACTAATGGATATCAGTGATAAATGATGGTTGGTTGACGATTGATGGAATATTATACTAACCAATATATTGGGGGTTAACACAATCTATGAATCTATGAACTGGGAAATCCTATTAAGCAGCCAGTATGAAGGGAAGACAGTTGGGTTTTGAACACTGCTCATATGTTTTTGAAATGTGATGAGCAATCCATTTTGGGAATCCATCATCCCATCTATTCCCGAAAAACATGAACGCAATCCGTGGGGGGGGGGGAATTCCCTTAGTATCCAGTTTTGCAAAACGTTTTTTTTTTGAGTTAAACTGTTGCTTGGAATGAAACCATTGGTTTCAAGATGAAAACGAAGCTGCTTGGCGGGCTTCAACCTGGAAGTGCAGTTTCAGTTTTAAGTGGATATATATATAATATACAACCATACTTATACTGTTCTACCGTTATAGCCATAGAAATAAGCTCAACTGCACCCCCAGAAGTATTCTTGGGATGGCCGCTGAGCCGGAAGAAAATCTTGGAAACTCACCAGAAAGGGGTACTTGTTGGACCAATCGGTACAGGAGGGGGACACAAACAAATATTAAAAATATCTAAAAATTATACATATTATACATATTTCACATATTTTACATATTTCACATATTATACATATTTGACATATTATACATGTTTTACATACATATTTTATACTACAAATCCCCAGAAATACTTGTATGCAATTGTTTATTCGAAGTGTCTGTTTTTCGGGGACCATCGGGACAATCCCAACTCCGCAGGGGTCATTTTGTTAGTCACCAAATGGTGACCGCGGCTATCATGTGGGGGGATTACCTTTTGGGAGGGTGTTATTCGAGTGTATTCATACAAGATATTACAATATAAGTATATTCCATTGGATCCTCATGATTGATTTATGATGTGCCGTGATTTTGTTGGTTAAATGGCAATTTATAAGGGTTTGTCTGAAAATAGTGTACCCCTACACCCAATGGTTTGTCTGATCATTATCCCTACTAAATGGCTATTTCATTGGGGGTATACCCCATTTTCAGACATACCCATAAATATGTTATCACCATTTTCCAAGGTTTTTAAGTTGAATCCCCATGAGTTTTGTTCGTGAAAAACACCTGGTGCCGAACCGAAAATCAAGGCCACTGGCGTCGGGCAGCTCAGAGTTTTGCTATGATGGGTTTGTTTACAAATAGCTTACCCTCTGGTGAACTAACAAAAAGCAATGGTATAGATGGCCATAGAAATAGTGGATTTTCCCATGAATAGCATGGTGATTTTCCATTGCTATGTGGCAGTTCACCAGAGGGTACCATTAATCGCATTCATGATGGGTTAATGATGGTTAATGATGGGTAAATACATGACGGTCAATGATCATTATTCTGAAATGAATTTGGAATATGCTAAGCATCGTTCAGTCTCCTTATTTAAATACAACATTGATCAGTCACTGGGGACAATATCACATTTCCAGACAAGACCATGAGTTGAAAAAGGTGAGAAAGATCATGCAGCTTGTGATGAAGGCATTGTACATTTTGGGTGAATTGAAACTGCCAGTCTGCGAAAAATCAAATGAAATGTATAGGTCCATTGCACACATTGAAGTTGATCAGGTCAGTTCTATTGTGTTCATTTTTCGTTAGTTCATGTTACTGTAGTTTCATTCTCCCGCCATTCGATGCCGAATGTTCCTTTTGAATCCTTTTCATACCAGTTTGTCCACCGAGAAATAACACGTGGTCTCCCTGCCATGTTTTTAGCTTGGAATTCTCCAGGACTCCAGTGTTCAAACAATTGTGTCCCCCTAAAATATCATAAGTGTATTGAACTTGTTTGGGATTTGCATGGGTCCCTTTTTTGTGGTGGAAAATGTTGATTTTCGTCGTTTGAAACTAGTCCCACAAGCCCAACGCAGTAGTGGTTGAGGCGTACATGGGGAAGATTTGGCGCAACCCGGTCTTGTGCTGAGCAGAGTGATGGTATACCTGGGTACCGGGCTCGTTTGTAGCCGACACCTTTTTTTTCAAGTCTCCACAGGGTTTGATCATGATCATGATTGATGGTTGAATCCACATGAAATTGATGGTTAGATCATCAAAAAAATGATGGCTAAATCACCATTGTTTGATGGTTAAATCCACATGATTATCGTTATTGATGGTTTAAATCAGGCTTCACTCAGCATCTTTGGTGGAGCTGTGGGTCGAGGTTACAGCGAGGCTGAGTTTGAAGAAAGTCAGCACTCAAAACAACTTCCAGCTCATCGATTTGTACACCAGGCAGGGGAGGCAGGAGAGTGTGGCTATGTAAATACTGTTACATACTGCTACATACTATGATATACTGTTATATATTGTTATATACTGCTATATACTTTTATCATAGTTTATCTACTGTTATATACTGGTATATACTGTATATGTATATTTATACCATAATATCATATCATATCATATAATGTAACATAATATAATGTGTTGTATATATATATAACATGTTCTACTGTAGACTATCATTATATATATATATATATTATACTAACATCCCAAGACCATATTGAATACCACCCATGACTGTGCCCCCAAAAGGAAGAGTAATCCAATATTCAGCCAGGGTTTAAGGGGTATTTGATATTAAATAGGGTGAAGGGAGTATCCTAGTGACAGTGGCCTTTGGGTATAAATGACTGCAAGAAAGCAAGCTTGTTGGCAATGGCAGTCTTACTTGGGTTTTCAAGCCACCTGCTATCAATGACAAGTTGCTAGCTGCTCAAAGGTACTGTCTACACTCTTGCTTTCCAAATAAGGTAAGTATGCACAATCTCAATTCCAAGTTGTTTGTACTTCGATGATGTTTCTGATGTTCCGCACAGGTCCCGTAAGCTGTTTGTTGGGCAGGAGTCGAGTATCTGGCACTCCATCAGAATTGGCAAAGGATCCATACCTGTACAAGTCCGGGTGCCCTTCACCGTCGCTCGCTACAGGTCACAATGGAAGTACTGTACCCATTGAACCATTTTGAGTATTGACATCATCCATTCTTTGGGGTTGATTATGTTGACCTTGTGGTAAAGAACCAGGGTGAGCCCACCCGGATAAACACAACATTTTTCTATGTTCTATGGGTATTATATATACTGTATATAAATGTTATTGAGCACTTTCTAAGTGGGATGCACATCCAAGGATACCAAGATAACATCCATAAATTGGGATAGACTCCCTACAAGTATGGTTTACATAACCCATGATTTGAGGAAACTGTACCCCAAGTAATAGATCAAAATGATTGGCCCAACAGTAAGATGGCTTGACAAGTAAACTAACCAGCTTTGTGGCTGAACCATCAGACCATTACTTCTTTTTGACTATCCAAGCATGACGCTTAGAAAGTCGTGCTCTCAACGCTTAGATATTCGGATTGTTCAATAGTTTTCAGATAAATCCTAGTTGGTTTCTCTATTAGAAATGACCACTGGCTTGCATGATTGTCTGGTCAAAATTCAGCAAACCGGCAAACCCCCATATATTTGCAAGATTGATATCTATGTGGGGTCACCATGTAATGTCACAACACATATGGAAAATTATGGAAAACCGATGACACGCCATCCCCAATTGGCATGCCAATTGGGTACCCTCCACCCCCCCCCGGGTAATTGGATAGTTTATGTTTCAAGCCATGAATTGTTGGTTGCTGATTGGGCCTGGTTTACTTGCATATTTATCAGTTTATCAATGTTTATCAGTATTCAGTATTACTATTACTATTGTGTCGCTTCTATAGTTACTATCATTGTGAATATTGTGATTATTCCTTAACCTTTGGTACTCAAACATGGCAAAGTATCCTATGTATAGATGATGCTCCGATTGTTCTATTTGAATGCCCATAAAAATAGTGGATTTCCTATCGCCATATTTCAAATTGCCCGTCATGTTGTTACCAATGTATACATCAAAAACCACCACCACCAGAGACTCGTCACAGCCTTAGGCCCGTCATTCTGAGCTTGCGAACGTGGATGTACCACGACTTCTTCAGGCGAGGTACCGGGAAGCAGAATGGCCTGGGATTTCTATGACATCGACTATCCCCGTTCTACATTGATTCCATCATATGCCAAAGTCGAAAAAAAAAAAGCACATGTCACATGTGTTTTCTTATTTGATGATGTGTCCATTTCGATGAGAAAATCTTAGCCTGAAAGCCATAAGCAAGCCCTTTGTTTACAGGAAAATGTGGTCACAGCTGGGTACTCCCAATAGGCTTCTGGCTGATGTCAGTCAAGATCACGAATTTCGGTAACGGTTATCATGGTTGGTAGCTGGAGTATCTGGAGTATAGTCCGCTACATGCCCGTTATATCCGAGGTAAATGATGCGTTGTTTTTTGTTGCTGCAGGTTTGACATTATGTTCTACTCATATCCCACTGTTGGATCTTGTTACTGACCTCCTGTCATATCACTGCCGTTGCAGCATGGAACATCCCAGTTGTACGGTATCTCAGGTCTGCCATCCAAACTGTGTGAGTTGATTGGTCGAAAGGTGGCCCACAATTATGTGCTTAGGCTGTTCCATGCATTGGACATATTTGGAAATCCTTTGGCTAATTATTTGGTCCCCACCAAAACTACTATCAAATTATTTTTGTTTGCCAATTGCTGTGGTAACTCCTTGAAAGCCTGGCAAGAAGTGCAGCCACAATTGTTGATGGTCTGAAATGATATGGGGGTTTCCTAAAATAGGGGTACCGCTAAATCATCCATTTATAGATGGATTTGCCCTCATAAATCATCCATTTTTGGGTACCCCCATTTATGGAAACCACCATATATATAATATATACATTGAATACCTTCAATAAGTAACCTTCAAGTCGATGATTCCCAAATTAACCAAGGTTTCTAGGTGGCTATTCTTCTAGGAGGAAGGGATTCCAGTGCGATCTTCCAAAGGCAAAAGAAGTTAGTCGCTTCAGCAGACGAGTTGGGTCAGCCCAGGGTGGGGGATTTTGTGGATTGATCTTGCTCAACAGTATATCTGATTATCTATAGATATTTAGTACAGGAAAATCCCTCCTTTAGTGGAGAAAAACACCTAGTTTTAGTATATATTGGATCTGTTCATATTTGGTTAAACGTTTTTTTTTGGATGAGTGGATTCATGTTCAGCCGGAGTTGGGAATTCGCCATCATGGATTAGGCCACCACAGAGCCTTTTTTTTGGGTCATTTTTTTATAATGGTGAATGGTCATAAATCCATACCCAACGGGTTTATAATCCCATTTCCTTAATATAAACACTCCCTAAATCATCCCACATTTCTGCAAATCCACTATTAATTCCCTGTTATAAGCCACAATTTCCAGGTGATGTTTAATGTTATTGGGTAGGATTGATGGCCATTTACAAGGAATATTTCATGAATCCATTTCATGATGGTGGAATGATCATCCCACATATGCATCCATCTGGGTAAATTATAACGACCTCACTGTGACCTCACTGGAATCATGGTTTATTTCAGGGAAATCATCCCCAATGGCCTTAATTCAGGTTCGTGAAATATTATGATTTACCCAGATCCATATATAATCATATAGATATGACCATGGCACATGATGAAGGTCTCCTTGTTGAGGTCACCCGGTGATGGCTTGGGAAACCCGCTAGCCATGATTCCAACGCTTGGTGCTTTTTCGTTGCTGGGAGACCCCCAATAGGCCCTTTTAGCAACCACCAAGAAGACAGAGCAGTTTATCACAATCTTGGCGTGATTTAGTTTCTTCAGCTTTGAACGGCAGATTCCGATTACACGGAAATCAAGCATGGCTGGCTGGCTGGGACTTGTCCTTTATTTTCACGTAATATATATATATGCCGATCCCTGCATGAAGAATGCTTCTATTTCCTACTTGTAACAATGCTTGATTAGTGGATACTCTCGTGGCCATTGCTAGTCGATTTCGTGATTCATCTTACGAATCGTAAGTGGGTCACATACATACGACATGGTTAGAAGTTGGGTAAGTAGGTTGTATATATATACACTCCAACTACAATTGTATATACAAACATGTATACATATATATATATAATATACATAGAAAACAATCCTGGAGTAGATTGAATATGATACTAAGAACAAAACAATCAAATGGGAATATCATATATGTAAAAAAAAAACACTATTCTATCTACTTCAGGATTATTATAGACACATGTAATTGACCTACTTGCTAAATGGAATGGCTCACCAGCAAGTTCCAATCTTGCTCTGCTGAGGAATGGTATGGTGAAATGGGTGCTAGACCTGCCATGCGTTGCTGCTGGGCTGCAACTCGTGCCACATGGTGATGGTGAAACCCGGGGGAAGCGATCAGTTTGAGCATCAAACACTTGGACTGTTGGCTTATGATCAGTTTGGACGTTAGACGTAACCTTTTCATACCTTTTATATATTGGGGATTATCATGGATTATTATTGCAAAATCCATGATGCAAACCAAACCATCTATCTCCCTAACCAACACTTCGACCCTGCGAATCATGTCTGTTTAGGGGAATTTGTTGTCTTCCAACCCCCTTTTCGAATGGCAGGGTTGATGTTAATTTGAGGGATGGAAGGAACATGGGATTCTGGAAGATCCATGAAGACATGGTCCATGTTTCAGGTTTAGGAGGTTTACCATCAATACTACTATGGAGGAAACTCCTAAAATGCTGGTGCCCAAGTCACCATGGGTTTCAATACTTGCTCGAATGACTGGGATGAGCGATTGGGATACCCCCAGGACTTAGGAAACCTCCATACCACGGACAGACAACATCATGTGAATCATGTGTTTTAAATGTTTTGAACTGTTATGTTTAATGGATAGTCAGTCATTTCCGCAGATCCCAAAATGGATTATAACTTGGGGTCATCGGATCATCGGTTACTTGCCCCATTCAGAACACCTGGGGCTAGGGGCTGGGATTCCCCTGAAAACTCGACAATCCGCAATAGAATACAGCTGTTGTTTATATTATAATAATACAGCTGTTGCTTGACCCCATAGAATCAGAATACCAACAGGGGGTATCAGAAAAGCCACTGCAATTGCCAAAATCCAAATTGTAATTCGTCCTACGCTTTGAAACAATCCCATCCCCCTAATATTAAACACCCTCCTAGAAACCCTGGTTTAGTTTTGAATCGCTTCATTGTGGGGCCCCGTGATAGGAATATTGACGATTAGGGGGTTGGGGTTATTCCCCTATTATGGGAGTGGTTTGTTGTTCCTGAACGGATCATCAATGGCACATATGATGAGCATTTTTGAGCCATATTTGTATGTCATATTCCAGATGCTACATGTAAATGTCAGGGTAAATCTTAGCTTCTCGTTTGAACACATTCAGGCATGTTGATGAAACTACAAGACTACAAAATACTAGAAAAATGACACTCTTATGATCGCTATCACTATGGTTATATCCCAACTTATGATGCTTATATATTTGAAGTCTTGCCAACTTCTGGTGGATTATGTCTCAACAAATGTCCATTTAATCCCATAGTCTTTTGTTGATTGGGATATCCCAACAAATTCCAGTTAGTTCCAATTACCCTCTGGTTATTTAACAGTTCGCCATGGAAAATTTTCCCATTTTTAAGAACGGTAAACCATCTATTTCGATTAGGGCCATCTATTTTCCATGGCAAACTGTTAGTCATAACCAGGTTGGGTAATCCCAACGATTCCCAAGTCCTGCAGGAAAATTCCCATGGTCTACTCATCCCCCAGATTCTGGCAGGATGCGCCGATCAACGCGGGGCAGAAGTCTTCAGTGCTGTGTTTCTGGGCGGATGGACTACTTGGTTTCAGTTTTGTTGTTTCGTTGCTACAAAACCATGGTATAACCATGGTGAACTAAACCCTATAAGTTGGGATACAACATCCCATACTATACTGTTATATCATGTTATATCCACTTAGTTCACCGCAACTGCACTTCCAAGTAGATGGTTTTTGAGTGGGTAAACCTTAGTCGGATAAGCTGGTCGTTCGCAAGTTGCATGGGGGATTGATGAATGTGGCAAACCCAATGCCATAAAGCCACCCAATAGATGTTCATGATTGGATATACCCCTATGAGTGGGATGATGTCTATCATGACCCCCAGTTATGTTTGGTTAATGGGATGGTTTATGTTGAGGGGGGGGCACAGAGTGGATATTATACAGCTAAGCACATAGTCATGAAACATACCAACCAACCAAACCACCAACCCACCCACACACCTACCCACCCACCAACCCACCAACCCACCAACCCACCAACCCACCAACCCACCAACCCACCAACCCACCAACCCACCAACCCACCAACCCACATAGTCAGTGAAGAACACAAAGTTATGGGCCAATACCTACTACGGAGAAGCCCACAGAGTGGGTCCGTTGATCGTTAGTACTCCAATGACTTGACTTGAGCACTACCCACATACCCCAAAAAGTATTCCGCATTCCCAAAGATATTTCCCGTGATATTTCCCATGACAAACATATGCATGTACATGTACATAAACATGTACATGAAATTGTACATACACCGGGGTGAGAGTAGATGGCCCTGCCAACTACGAAAGTGCGCGTAAAGATGGCGCCGACTTTTGGAATTTTGACACCTCAAAAGGGCGTGACACCTCATATCATCTCATTGCCCCAATTGATAGTTGGTTGTGCCATCCAACCTGAAATCAAGATGTTTGATGTTTGTTCTTGATGTTGCTCCCACGGGCTACCATGCAAAACCTTTGAAATGTCTCCAAGTTGGGGGTTGCGCCATCGCACCATCTCCTGCATTTTTGGGTTTTGGTTGGGTTTGCAGCTCTTGCCTTAAGGGAATGTAGCACAAATTCCCGCGGTGTTTTGGTGGATTTCTTGGGGATTGCGCCATCTATTCCGGTATTTTTGGGTTTGGTTTGGTTTGCAGGGGGAATGGAACATCTATTCCCGCAATGTTTTGATGGTTTTATTTTATTGTAGATGCTTCCATTTCTGCACAGCCCCTTTTGGGGGTTGCGCCATGTATTCCCAGGTTTTGGAGATTGGTTGGGTTTACTGGTGTTCACACGGGAATGGAGCATCTATTCCCGGAGTGTTTTGGTGTAGATCCTCCTCTTTCTGCATTTCCCTTCATCTCTATATATATACCCAATCCTCTTTAAAGCACCGCTTACCGTCCACTTACACATCTATTCTGACATATTTTGACCCTGGAGTTCATGGTGTGCGGGGACCCACACTCAAGAATTGGTGCGATCTATTGTGGCAGTAGGGTTATTCCCTTTTGGGGCATTGTTTGCAAGACTTTTCAAGAGCAACTGGATGGCATTGTCCCAGGTGGTTGCGCCATCTATTATACAACATTACAGTATTTGTTTTTTCCCTTCTAGACTTGACTTCAACCGGCCGAGCCCTAAGCCCTTCCCGAAAGAAGGATTTTAAATGGAGGGTTATTTTTCTGATAATTATGTCTTTTCCGTTTTATTTTTTTTGTTTTTTTTCCTGCTCCTTTGCTTTTCTGCTTTTTGCTTTTCTGCTTTTCCATGTTTTTTTGCTTTTATAGTTCTTTGAATCTTTGCTTCTCCACTTTTCTGCTTCTTTGCTTCATCGCTTCTCTGCTTCTCCACTGTGCTGCCTCTCTGCTTCTCTGCGTCTCCGCTTTTCTGCTTTTCCATGCTTTTCCATGCTTTTCTGCTTTTCCAGCTTCTCTGCTTACCTGCTTTTCTGATTTTCTGCTTTTCCCTCCTTTTTTGTTTCTCATACTGCAGATAATCCTTAAGAAACATCATGTAAATAGACCCTAAATCAACCATAAATAAACCCCAAACCAACCAAAGAAACACTAAAGCTTAGTAATCCCAAATAAACCTTACACCAGCCCTACATAGATCTTAAACCAGACCTAAATAAATCTTAAGTCTTAAACCAACGCTAAACACACCTTAAACCAATCCTGAATAGGTCCTACACCAACTCTAGATAGATCCTAAACCAAGCCCGGATAAACCCTAAGCACACGCTAAACCAGCCCCAAATAGATGCTCACACAAGCCTAAATATACCGTAAAAGATCCCTAGATATATTTAAACCAGGCCTAAATAGATCCTAAACCAACCCTCAACAAACCTTAAACCAACCCTAAATAGGTCCTAAACCAACCATAAATAGGTCTTAAACCAAGCCAAAATAAAATCTAAAACAAACCCTAAAAAGATCCTAAACTAACCCAAGAGCTAAATAAAGCCTAACCCTAAAACCAACCCTCAAAAAAACTTAAACAAACAAAACCCCTAAACTATCCCTAAAACCAACCCTAAATGAACCCTAGTTGCAAACTACCATGTCATGTCACATGAACAGTTTGAACTGAAAAATGCTGCAAATACCGTTGAAACAGCAGTTTCCAGCTCCAAAATGTTACAAATTCCACCAACATGTTGCAAATTCTATGGAAAATGAGAGGTTTCAACTCCAAAAAACATTTGTTGGAAAGACAGTTGAAATGGCAGCTTCCAGCTCCAAAATGCTGCAACTAGCAAGGAAAACGTGCAGAAAAAACGGATTCAAAAAATATCCCGAAACGGGAAAAAATAATTCCCAAAACAATTCCGGACTCATTTTAAATTAAAAATGGGGTAGATGGCGCAATTTTGTGCATTTTGCACATGTAGGGTTGCGCCGTCTTCAGGCACATTGGCTGTTTCGGGTATATTTGGGAAAGGATTTGTTTACTGTTAGATGGCGCAACCACCTCTGAAGAAGGTGTCCGGAGCTCACTTTTAACCCGGAAGAAGCATACTATATTAATATACATGGATGTCACATAGATTTCATAGATACATGTACTGTATATTATATATATAAACATATATATATATATATATGTTATAACAAACACCCCCCAATTGTTTTCCACACCAACCGGACCAGCGCGGCGCCGAGATTACATGCCAATGGCTCTGATGAGCTCCTTCACCAAAGACGCGTCGGGGCCGACGGGGCATCGGGGGCAGCGGTGGGGAACTCTGGTGCTTGGTACTGCATGGTATTCCAATGATGTTATCTAGAAATTATGAATACTCATGGGGATAGATACTCATAGGTTTTCAGTAATTATGTTGTTAAAATTTATTGATATTCAGCAGTTTGCTTCTGTTCGGCCAGAGGTGGGAACTTATAAAACGCAGGGTTCAAAAAAGTGTGAGGACCGGATCGCTAACTTCACTTGTCGAACTCAAGGAACATCCAACCAGAGAATCACCACGTTTCCCGATTTATTACCAAAAAAATATATAAAAAACAAGAAAACAGGGTTTCGAAGGAGGGGCTGGTGATTCCTTCAGGGTCCAAAAACGAAGTGCCCTTTGGTTGTCGCGTGGCGACAAGGGCATTGGGGTGATGTTACTAGGCCAGCTGTCAGGTAGTATATAATATGGATGTGGGTCAAAATGGAAGACCTAGGGGACCACAGATGTTAGTCTAGTTTAGTATTCACCATCCAATTATTGGGGTACCTAATTTTGACCCATACCCATATGGAATAAGTTTACGTACTGTAGTCGGAATTCTAAATGATTGGTGGTTCGTATCCCCATGTTTTTTTTGTTTTATTTCCTTAAATATGCCTAGTGTCACACCATTGTGCAGGTGGCTAAAGACCACACACCAGTGATCGGATGGATTAATCCTTCACAGCTATTATATATTATACGTGTATAATATATATATATATCATATATATATAGAAACCATTCACACCAAAGTTACCCACAAGATGTATGTAGGTAGATATGCCAGCAAGATTGATTCCGTGTTTATTTACAGTAATTTCTCCGGAAATGTCGTGAAAATCACTGCAGGTATACCAAGTACAAGTAGTTTTCAAACGGATACCCCTGCAAAAGTACCCGTTGTGTCACCGCAACAATGGGGTTCCAAGAAGCCTTTTTCCAAAAGGCTCCAATGCAAAACAAAAGTGCTCGTTGATTTGTTTTTTGGTTGTATAATGTTAGTGATTAGTTTTATCATGTATTATCCCTCTTACTACCACCATTTCATTGTAGGTTTGAAGAAAGAGTACCCTCACGGGTTTTGGATAATGTTGTTTCTGCGTTCCATCATATCATATACCCTCTGGTAATTTAACATAGCTATTGAACATGGCCATAGAAATAGTGGATTTACCGATTTAAAATGGTGATTTTCCATATTTTTTGTATGTTTACCAGAGGGTATCTCAGATATCTTAGCGTTTTTCGGATTTCTTTCTCAGTTAAATGATCCAAGTTGACCAGATGACCAGATGTCTAGCATGTGTGTGTGTGTGTCTGTGTGTGCACAACGTGGTGTCCCCTGCTTAGTTAAGTTGGTTTATGAGCAGCTTCACTATGGTTTATGGATGTTTATGAAGGTGTCTGCGTAGTTCTGCGTCAGACATTGATAAACCAAGCAACACAACGGGGCAACACCTTCTACCACCCCCTCAGGGCGACGGTCGCCTCAACTCTCTTGGCGTTGATTGCTTTGGGCGTGGCTTGGAAGAAAAATGGAGTGTGGACCCAACCTGTTTGTTGGTGCACTATGCGGTAAACAATGGTAGACCCATGTAAAACCAATACATAAGGTCCATGTAAAGCCAAGAATTTCCAAAGAAATTGGGGCAAGTCATGGCAAGTCCATTATTTTGCTGACCCCATTCTTTTCGGATAATATACAGTCGCAAAACTTCAGTCGCAATGATAGCCCATTTCATTAGAACATACCTGGCGTACCGTCCCGTCATGATCTGGGCGTAAAAATTGCTTCAGGGTTGACATCATTTTTTTGGTTAAAAGAAATGGGGATTGTTTGGTGAATGTTGCTGAACAAATAACATCAAATAACCAACTTCTGGATGTATCCACAAAATCACTAATCAGTAATCTCGATTTGACAATTGGATTGAATTGCGAAAGTTGATTTATCGTTTCCATATATGTTTCCATCATTTTCCATCATTTTTGGGTCCAAAAACAACCAAAAACAAAACTTGTTCCCTGTTTTCAGTGCACTTGCCATGTTTGGCGGCTCAATACCACAATTTTTTTTGGCTGGGGGTTAGGTTGATTACCAATCTTGTGGTACACCCATTTTGAGCCATAATTATACATTATCCCATAGGATCCATGTATGGTATATATGCTAACATTGGGGGTATATTGATGGGATCCATGTTACCATATATAGCATACATGGATCCTATGGGGTACATTATTGGTTGAATTGCGATGTGTGTTTCGGAGAAACCCAACAGTGAAAAGAGGTACATAGCCACGTCTGAAAAACAAATATGGGCTCGGCAATGGCTAGGCATCGGGTAGCTTTTTGACGATTGGCCGAAAATTATTCAACACCCCACCTGCCTCCCCGTGTGAGAAGACAGAGATTGATTCCAATATGAGAGCTTGAGGTGTGAAAAGGTTTGAATCATCGTAGACATTCGTAGAGGTCTGAAGTAATTATGGATCCCATAGGATCCATGTATGCTATATATGGTAACATAGGTCCCATCAATATACCCCCAATGTTAGCATATATACCAGCACCATGGATCCTATGGGGATGGAGCACAGATGTCAGTCCCATGTGCATCGCAAAGATCCCCGGCATGGTCCCCAATAACTTGACCTGTCAGTTGCTGTCGGCAATGTGCAACTCCGCGCAGCTTTATAGCGGGGATGCCCAGCGAACCTTGGGGGAATGGAAAATCCCTCATTTTAGGGGCTTTCCTAAAATGGTGGTACCCCAAAACCATGGGTTTTAATACTCAAATGATCTCAAATAGTCTAATGACTTGGATGATTTGGGGTACCCCTATTTTGGAAAGCCCCCATATCCATTCATAGATGATGTGTATGATTACAGTGTGGGGTTGCATTCCATTTCATGTCTGATTTGTCGAGGGTATCTCCAGCAAAATGATTATGGTCGCTTATATCGTCAACCCAAGAACACGGCAATTGCGTGTCATGGTATCGAGTTTGCCATACTGGTATTAAAAGATATGGATCCATTGATGAATCAAATATCCAGATTGAGAATGATATTGATCATTGATCATATTCATGTCTATTCATAGTATCCAGAATGAACCATTCAGATATCTTCAAATATTCGTCTTCATTTGTTTTCAGTGCACTTCTTACTTGTCGGGCCTTTCAATCTCATCTAAGATCCGATGAGAAACACTGAATTCTCCAGCCAACCGCCACTTGTAAGGTCGGCAACGCATCTACGGTCTTCCGGTGCGCATCTTGCACCTCACTGTTCGGGAGCCAAGGGATGTCAACCCCACAATGGTTGATTATAACCCATTATCAGATCTAATGGTATATATATAATATATAATATATATATATATATGATCATTAGATCTATTATCTTATCTGATAATGGCCATATAACCTATTATATGCAATGGTATATCATCCCATTATCCCGATTATTATCCCTGTTATGTATATATATAATCAGATATCATCGGGGATAATGGGATTAATTATTTACCATTGCATACGATCATACCGTTACAATATATCAATGTGTTAACCGAGGATAGCCAAACCACCAAACCACCAGTGTCCTTTGATCCAGGGTACCAATTTTACCCGTACTGAATCACTATGTCACTATGTTTATCTATTTGTGGGATAACCATGGATAACCTGCATAGTCAACAGAGTTTGTTCATCCAGGATTGGCATTATTTGACACCACTCACTTTGCAACATTGAGAGTCAAACTCGTATAATGTAACCATTCTCAAATGGCACTGGCAGGGTTTATGATTGGGTTTACCACATTACATGACTTGCTTGGGTGCTTGTAAGGCCTTGGCATGTCTTATGCCGGGTCGAACTCAAACGATCTACATACTTTGCTATAGGAGCATTCAAAGGTTTTTATGTTCACTATCCTGCAAAAAGGAAACCCAGTTTTTTCAACGTAAATAAATACGTACTTCTTCTCTATTTGTGGGTGAGAACCAACCATCGGTTGAGAACCAACCAGAGCCAGTTCACTGTGAATGGCCACGTCTCAGCAAGGCAATCCATGCCGGGCTACCGGGTAAAGAGTGATTGACCATCCCCAATTTCGATGCCATATGAATTCCTTCCCCGATTTTTGGGTTTCATAGTGATTCAATCCTGTTCGAAAACTGCAGATTCCGTCGAACAGTTCCATCCCATAAAGTATTGCGGTTTCGGATCCCATCAGATTCCTAGAAATGATTCGTTAACCAAATTAGCTAACAGAAATCACAACAATAAATCCGGAATTATGTGTGTGTGTGTGTGTGGGTCATTCCGCCTTCTTTGGTGGTTAAATATGGCTAAATTATGCTACAGTAACCCCAAAAAAGATAGAATCTAGTGAATTTACACTTCAATAGTGATAGATAACTGTTTTATCTATTTAGGGGCTACTATAGCATGATTTAAATCATAGTGTCATAGTTAACATAAATCACACTGATCAATCCTCTTTTTGTATTGGTTATATGGTGCTCATTTTTTCGTGGTTTGTGCCCGCTATCTGGGGGCATCACCACCCTTCGAGCACTGGCTCCAAGCCGCAGGTCTTGATCTTCACAGTGATGCAGAGCACCATGGACACCATGGCACTGATGGGTTGGGAAGCCCGGGCACCGGAGGGCACCGAAGGGCACCGGAGGGCACCGGACCGTCGGTGGTGAGTTGATGCTGGACGGGGCTGCCAGAAGTGATATCTATCTGTTTGTCTGTCTATCGATCTATCTATCTATCCATATATTCATCTATCCATCTATCAATCTATTATTCCATCTATCTATCTATTATGACCCTCCTCTGTACTACCAGTTTTTTTTCCTGGGGGTTCAGTACGCTTTTTAAAAAGCACTATTTTCCAAAAATCTAGCAGACAGTGGGTGAGGGTCCCGGGGCATGATATGGGGCCAGGAAAAAAATATCATACCAAAAAAGGCCCAGATTTTTTTTCCTGAAAGCTTCCTGACGTACAGCGACAGGAAATCAATTTCTGTCTGTTGTGATTGAGGGGGGTTTGATCTATCAGTCTGTGTATGTAAGGCATCAGGAAATCAATCATGAATGACTCTGATAATGGGTAAGTTTGTAGAATTCCTAAGGTTAGTAGCCAGGAATTTGAAGGTGGATGGATCAAATGGGAGTTTACTAGAACATATCTAAATGTCAAACCCCAGGAAAAAATGTACCATGATTAATTGAGTGGGTATGATTTTTTAAATGACTTTGCAAAAGGGGTACAACCACATATGTTCACCTTCACCAACCAAAAAAGTGACTTCAAGAGGCAAAGGCGCAGGGGTCAAAAATCAAATCCAAGGGGCTGGACCTTTTTTGACTGAATACTTGCGGATGATTTCACAGGTTGGCCCACAGGAAAAAAGTCGCGTCACCAGGCCAATCATCCACTGATAGGACATGATGGGCCGAATTCAAAAATTTTGTGTCAACGCACGCCCAAATTGCAAAACACATGTTTTTTTTGCTGAAAATACAGTTGTCCTTGCAAAAGGGTACAGACACACATGTTCAGCTTCACCAACCAAAATCAAAAAAGTGACTTGAAGAGGCCGAGGCGCAGGTGTCAAAAATAAAATCCAAGGGGCTGGACCTTTTTTTGGCCGAATTCTCGCGGATGATCTTCAAAGGCTGGCCCCACAGGGAAAAAATCGCATCACCAGGTCAACCATCCATAGATAGGAAATGCTGGGACAAATTGAAGAATTTTGTTCCAACGTGTGGCCAAATTGCAAAACAGGCGTTTTTTCCTGAAGATACATTTGTCCATGCAAAAGGGTTGCGCATTTTCCTGAATTCCTGTCCGTGGTTACCAAATTAACATAGTGACATAGACAATCTTGAACCATCTTGAGCCACGATGATGGATAATGCAGGTTATGATGTAGAATGTTTTTGGAGGCATGCAATGGCAATAATTTTAAGAAATCATGGGGCTCACCACGAATCTGCGACATGGCTGACTTGCTGGTGAATGCAGGGTTGCGCATTGCTGGTGAATGCATTTGTGAAGCCGTGGCATCCGAAAAAATGCGAGCTGACTCCCAGGGAAGTCAGGTAACAGGAATTCATTTTTTTCCGTATCAGATTGAGGGGGGGAAGATATGGCATGTTACCAACGCAAGCATCCAGGAAATATTTTTTTTACTTGGATACCAGAGGGGTAAATTTATTGGATGTTGGACGTTGGGCACCAGGAAATTAGCAAAGAAAATTCAAAAAGGTGGTTGGAAGTGAGATTTCGGCTTCAGAGGTTAGGAGCCAGGAATTTAAAGCTCTAAAACCTCTCTCAAAGGTTAGGGGTCATCATTTTAGACCGATTTTTTTCTAGGACTGTACCCCACGTTGGAGTACAGACGGGGATTATTATGCCATCTATCTATCTATCTATTATGCCATCTATCTATCTATTATCTATCGATCGATAGATCGATGGATCTATCTACCTACCTATCTATTTGTCTGTCTGTACGTTTGTTTGTCTGTCTGTCTATCGATCTATATCTATATATATATACGTATCTATCGATCGATCGATGGATCTATCTATCTATCTACCTATCTATTTGTCTATCTATTGATCTATCTATCTATCGATCGATCGATCTATCGATCTGTCCATCTGTCCATCTGTCCATCTGTCCATCTGTCCATCTGTCCATCTGTCCATCTATCCATCTAGCCATCTAGCCATCTAGCCATCTATCCATCTATCCATCTATCCATCTATCCATCCATCTGTCTGTCTGTCTGTTTGTCTGTCTCATCTATCTATCTATCTATCTACCTATCTACCTATCTAACAAAGACATACTATACTGTATAATATTGTATATATATATATTCATAACAGAGACATACTATACTGTATATTATTGTATACATATAGTCAGATACACATTTTTATGTAACTGTTATATATATATATACATACACACATCCATTTAGCTCCATTTATATAGTGAAGTGAAGTTTTCGGAGTGCTTCATATGGAAGATACACTCCATTTTTTTGCAAAACCATATGGAAGAAAATCCAAATTTACACCTCATGTTGCCGAGAAACCGGGGGGGACCTACCACTTGGGTGCCACCATACGGACCATAAATGTGGACAATCATAGGATCCATAAGAAGGTCCCCGATCCATGGGGTTATAGTGAAATTATTCCCTCGGATTTATATAACCCATTCTATGGTGAAACGATAAAAAATAACCTGTGGTATGAACATTATCACAAACCTGTTTTTTTTTCTGGTGAAGTGAAGGTTACAATCTTGGATGTGCTGGGGCCAGGTTACATCATTACCTTCATGTTCGTAGCGATGGATGTGGCGACAACCCCAGGGGACATGCTGGGACACCGTGGCGACCGTGAAATCATGGGGCAGTGCCGAAAAGTGGCCCCCCTGGGATGATGTACCCGCAATGGAGCCGTTTGCGGTGGAAGGTTTTGCGGTGGGTTTTATGGGATTTGTATGGGATGTTTATGGTTTTTTTTATGGGATTTTTATGGATTATTCATATTTCATAGAATTGGATGATGGGACAATTTACAGAAAAACCCTATATTTGATGGTAAAAACCATGGTTTCCGATTAAGATTTTCCCTTAAACCAATCCAATGAATATTCCTTCAAAGGTTCATCAGGATGTTCAAACCTTTGGGTATCCTTCCTTTATTTTTATTTTTTTTTGCTGTGTTTTTTTCTCTTTACTTAGCAGTTGGCATTGAAAAAAGCCTGTCCATTTAAAGCCGGCATGACCTGGCTCGTGGTAGGGATGATCCTGGGGTCCTGGACATTTACTGGAGCCCCTATTTGGGACCTCCATCAAAGGTGTATCATCCCAAATATCATATATGATATTTTCCATCAAAGGTGATGATATCATATTCCATCCCTATATGATATCATCATCATATTTTCCCAGCCGATGAAGATGGCTCGAAATTTGAAGGGCTCAAGCGCCCAGTTTGAGACAAGTTGAAATGGATATTGTTGGTTATATCTAGTCCATTATACTTCCATTACAGTATATCATCAGGTTTCCTATTCACATCCTTTTGGATAATGGTAAATCTGGCGATGACTGGCCTCCCGGTATGAAAGCCCAACATTTCCACTGGACGGCTGACCCCTGGCCAGTTTGATGGTGACCTTCGAATGCTCACGAGCTATAGGCTGCAACCGTGCCAGGGCGCATGATGTGAGGGCAGATGAAGCATTAAAAGTACCCTTGCTGACTGGGAGTTATACTACTTCGGTTCTTGGGGGCTGTTATAACATATTATAGTGCATAGTAGTAGGAAATCGATCAACAAACTAGAATCATGAGATGGGAAAACGAGGTATTTTGAAGGGCTCAGATGTTGGCGGGTGCTGGTTAGAAGTCATGGGGATTCCATATTTTTTTCTATTTTTGTGTGGGATCATTCCAACAAAATGTTGTTTGTAGTATTTTTTTATCATATAGTATATCATATTTTGTATTTTTTTAGATTGTGCACTATGGCAACGAAATGTGCTTCTTGTATGACATAGTGGGTGTACAACTGCGCAGTAAACACTTCCTTGGACCATCATCCCACTGATGGCTGGCCCGTGGTGATCCCATGAGTCACCGATTCGTGGGTTATCCCATGAGTGGCTTATAGATACCCTCTGGTAAACTAACGTAACAATGGAAAATCACCATTTTTTATGGGAAAATCCACTATTTCTATGGCCATTTTCAATAGCTATGTTAGTTTACCAGAGGGTAACCCCAGAAGCACCAAGCAGTCAGTAAGTAGGAAGCACCAAGTATCGTTTTTTTCTGGAAGATTCAGGAACAGAATGCGGTATACATACGCAAGAACATATCCCCCATGTATAGCTCCCTATGAAGTGGATATCCTTTGCATCTAGGGGGCTATACATGGGGGATATAAAACAAGACAAGCCAAATATAGACTATAATGCCTGTCTGGTTGGTGGTTTGGAACATGAATTTTATTTTTCCATATATTGGGAATAATCATCCCAACTGACTTTCATATTTTTCAGAGGGGTAGGTATACCACCAACCAGCTATAGATATGGTAGACCCGTAGCCACCACTGCTTATCCCTCGCCTGCAGCTTTTGCTCAGAGAAAGGTCAAGAACCAGGATTGGTGGTGCCGGGGGTGGGGCTCTCAAACGATAGCTCTATGGTTTGCAACTAGGTTAACTATGGGTTCATGGTAGATAGATCTTCCTTAAAACCTACTTTGGGGATGCAGTTGGGTAAATTCATAAATATAACTATATGTAATAACCTCCATAACTTGGGATATAACCCTACAACTATGGTTGTATAGCCCACTTAGTGGAATTGCACCCCCACATAGTTAACACCAAACCCCCACCTCCACAGTGGATTGCATTTTCCTCAAAAAGATACCTTCCGTTTTGCATTCTTTTATGCTGGATTGAAGGAAAAATCTAGCAGTCCATTGCCAAACTCTGTCCCAGACTTGGCATTCAACTCTGGCTGGTGGTTTCAACTATATTTATTCTCTATTTCTGGTTCAAATGATTGTCTGCAAGTGGAAAAGATGCGAGTTTCCAGGCTGTTGAAAGCACCGCTTTTTCATGGTTGACGTCTCCCATGTTTGCTGGCCCATTCTGTCTATTGATATTTGCAGTTGATTTTTCTGGGAACAAACCTCCAACTAGAGCTCTTCCTCTTCATGATTTTCGATGGCAGCCGCGTGTCTCTGCAGCCGGGAGCCCTGCAATCGACCACCGAGCTGCTTGAGCTATGAACGTTGGGTGGGAGGCATGGAACGTCCCGAGAAACATCTCCATGTTACAGTCAAACAACGTCGTTTTATGGCATTATGGTGCTGTTTTATGGCTTAAATATTGGTTGACCCCGAATGGCTTAAATAAACATCATGATATGAACACACATAGAACATCTCAGGAAGCCTGTAGAATGTTTGGGGATGTCCTTTCCGTAGATTGCTTGCTACCTATCATCCCTTTCAAAACTGCCCAATTCTGTATATTTGCTCAAGAGTTTCTTTTTACTTTTATATTTACTTTTATATTTACACCCCACAAAACTTAACATGGCACCTAAGAATGGTAATATCCCAATAGGCTATTTTTTGTCAGAGCGATTTTGTGAATTCCCTCAGGTACGATGGAGCAAGAGCCAATGTGCTCCACTACGATGCGACAAAGAATCGCTGCTGGGATTTAGATGAGGATCGAAGTGGGAAAGTTCATGGGGTTTTGTAATGGAAAGTTCATTGGGAATTTAATGGGGATGTGCAACCAAGAATATATGAATATATAACAATATGCAATATGAGTGTGGAGTTGAAAATGGGGAATAGGCCCAATTGATGGTCATTTAAATGGGGAAAATGGCGATTGACCATGATTGACCATCAAAGTTTTGAGGTACCCTCGTGTCAGACAAACATAGGCAAAGCCAAATCCATCATGTAGGATATGTCTTACGTAATTGTGCCCATCATTTCCAATGTTTGGAAGGGTTCAAGCAAAGGTGAGGTGGATAAAGGACATATTGCGAATGTTTAAACATCTCTGACGTTGGATTTTTTGGGTGAATATGTTCAAGAGGAAAATCGATGCCGATCAAGAAGATGAGTATGTTGATTAACTACACTGTTTGTTTGTTTGCTTAGATACCCTCTGGTAATGACTAAGAGTTTGCTATTGAAGCCATGGCCCATAGAAATAGTTGATGTAGCTATTAAAGGATTTTTTTCCAGTTCGAAAACTGTTGGTTTACCAGAAGGTACGCTATAACATACTATTGACCCCCTGGAACCTCAGGAAACCGATGTTTTCTCATGATTTCCGAGCAGTAGAGTCTCATGGCCAACTGGTCGGCGGGACCAGCCGAATTTCCGGCGATGCACCCGGCGATGAGATTCGGAACCAAGGCTATGCACTTCAACTTATTCATCCGGACTTCCAAGGCTGAAAAATACTGGTCTGGGAGTCTGCTAGATGGGTCCATGCAAATGTGAATATGTATATATATATATTATATACATGTAACATAACAAAATGGAAAATGCAGACACTTTGACTAGAAATTGAAGACTAAGTTCTACCAACTAGCTAACTAAAGCAGGTAATCACCTACAGTAGTTAGCCAAGTTAGCTCTCTATCCGACGCCATGTTCAAACCGAATTCTGGTCTTTGGAACATTTTGACAACTCCCTAGCAAACCAAGCCACTCGCAACGGCATGATACAATGTTGCAGCATGGAGCTATCTCCAATTGGACTCGACACGAATTTCCCCTGCTTCCTCAGTATGCTCACTTTTTTCCCAGTAGGTCTCTCATTTACATGTGTTGAAAACAGAAAGTGGAAAGATACAATTGACATATATTGATATATATATATATACATATGGCCATATATACATACATATGAAATATATTTATATATACATACATATACAAATAATATCAATAATCACATATATATATATATATACACATACAATTCACATATATACATGAATAACATACATAACATATATAACATACATAATATACATAATATACATAATATACATAATGTACATAATGTACATAATATACACAATATACATAATATACATATACATGTTCATATACATACACATTTACATACACATTGTTTACATATACACATACATATATATATATATACACATACATATACACATATATACATATATACATACATATACATATTATACCTAAGTACACAGTAGGCATTGTTTTCCATCGATTTACGTTTAAAAAAAAAAAACACACAACTGATTCCCAGGTTCATCAACTCCACGGCCAGGCAAACGGCTCTTGTGCCGCAAAGAAGCTTTGGAGTTCCACTTCGCCACTGGGTTTTTTGCGATGGATATCAATCCAAGTTTTATGTGGGTACACAATGCCATTGGCACCCCCGGTCATCACCATAAATAATAGGTGCTATAAACTTACCATTCCAGTCATGGGTGGTAAAAATGGCATTGTTTTACCCACATTACAGCAGATGTTGCTGACATTCCGGCTCCAAGGCCACGTTGCCTGAGAATCTGCAAGCAGCAAAGGCTGAACTTCGACTCAAGAGACCCTTGGCAGATTCGATTCGCGGCGAGGCCTTCTGTGTCAACCCCGGATTCATAAACCTCGACTATTAATTTTTGGGTGGCTACCCCCAAAAAAATGGTGAATTACTCTCAAAATTGGTACCCTCCTGTTCAACGGTTAGTAAACTGAGGGTTTATGAATCGTGGGTTCACATTTTATATACTAACACAGTAATTCTATTTCATGAAACCGCACAAAAAGTCACCTTCACAGGCAGTGCTGGGATTAGCCATACGATCCATTCGATGGAAGTCCATCATCTTTTTATCACAGAATCTTTTTTCGGAGCTTCAGCGTCAAAGAGTGGCCCCCCCGCTGAGCAAACGTTGCAAAAAGATATCAAAATTTTAAAACGAGGAAGATCAGCTCATATCACGAAAGGTAGCTCCAGAGGGGCTACCTTGAGTTTTACTTTACGAAGTAAAGGGGAGGGCGGCCAGCCCCGTTACCTGATTCTTCAGGAGATTGCTAGTCATTTTAGTACCCCCCCCCCCTCCACACCTCCCACGCACCCTAAGAGCAGACTCAAAACATTGTAATTTACAGTATTTTTGTTCTTTTCGGATCAAGAAACCACATTTTGCTACCGATTTGACGATTTTCGGCCACTACGGAACCGAGCAAAAACGCTGCAGGGGTAACACCAACACCAACAACAACAACACCAACAGCAACAGCAACAGCAACAACAACAACAACGACGACAACAACAACAACAACACCAACACACAACGCACAATGCACAACGCACAACGCACAATGCACAATGCACAACGCACAACGCACAACGCACAACGCACAACGCACAACACACAAAACACACAACACACACACAACACACACAACACACACAACACACACAACAACACACAACAACACACAACAACACACACACAACCACACACAACAACACACACACACAACAACAACACACAACAACACACCACAACACACAACGACACACAACAACACACGCAACACACAACAACGCAACAACGCAACAACAACACACAACAACACACAACAACACACAACAACACACAACAACACACAACAACACACAACAACACACAACAACACACCACAACACACAACAACACACAACAACACACAACAACACACAACAACACACAACAACACACAACAACACACAACAACACACAACAACACAAACAACACACAACAACACACCACAACACACCACAACACACACAACAACACACAACAACACACAACAACACACAACAACACACAACAACACACACAACAACACACCACAACACACCACAACACACAACAACACACAACAACACACAACAACACACAACAACACACAACAACACACAACAACACACAACAACACAACAACAACACAACAACACACAACAACAACAACAACAACAACAACAACAACAACAACAACAACAACAACAACAACAACAACAACAACAACAACAACAACAACAACAACAACATCAACAACAACAACAACACGAACACGAACACGAACAATACCAACACCAACAACACGACCAACAACACCAACACCACCAACAAACCCAACCACACCAACAACACTAACAACACTAACAACACCAGAAACACTACCACCACCAACAACACCAACAACAACAATACCAACAACACCAACAACACCAACACCACCAGCACCACCAACACCACCAACACCACAACCACCACCAACCCCAACCACATCGCCGAAGCCTTTCAGTCGCTTTTACCAGACTCCCCTTCATATTTTTGGAAAGAAAATGGCCGCGTCGCTTTTACCAGACTCCACTTTATGTATTTTTCCCTCCCCTCTCCCCTTCATTTTTTCTTCGGTTCCTTTCTTGCTTACCTACCTTTCGTGTTCCCCCTCTCAAGTTAGTTGAAAAACATATAGGATTCCACCGTACCCATCACCAGACGCTTCCTCTAATGAAAAACAGCCCAAATTCGTAGCAGCTCCGAGCCGATCCGTACTTTTTTTCACACTGGATATGGAAAGTTGTGAAGCAGTGATGTTGGCTCGTCATTCTAACTTGGAAGTTGGTTTCGGACTCATAAAGCTCAGCTACTGCACCAGAATGGATGGCAGAGATTCCGAAAATGAAACCATGTTCGAAGGGTGAGAAAGACCCAGCTTTGCAACACAGCAGGTTCCAGGGTTCCAGTGTTGTGGTTCCGGGTTTTGGGCGCCAAAAAACGATGCAGCACTCCCAGACCCAACGATCCCAACCCAAACATTTACTTCTCCTGGGAATAACTAATCTGGTTGGTGGTTCGCACATTTTTTATTTTTCCACATATTGGGAATAATAATCCCAACTGACGAACTCATATTTTTCAGAGGGGTAGGTATACCACCAACCAGCAATATGATGTTTTTCTTCAAACTCTGGTAAACTGTTCTTCCAACCAATCCAGGAAGCCCCCTAATAAATCCAAAGCAACATGGCCAGAGGGTATGTCTGAAACTAGGTGCCCCCCCAGCCATCATGGTTTATGATAAATTTACGTACAGATAGGTACAGTAATTGTTTAATTGAACCAGTCATATTATATATTTTGGGTATCCCCATTGTTTGGACAGACCACATTGGATACTGTTGCTTATATATTATATATTTAGTATACAATTTCATGATATCCGAGATTTATATAGATTGATTCCCTCAGAAAACTGTTCACCACTCCCCCAACTTGTTTGGTGCACCTCAGCAGTCCGTGGCCGTGTCTGAGGTGTCTCCTTCCAAGACTGAGAACTTCCTGGCGACAGCGAGCTGCTCATCCGACAGCCAGCGAAGCCAGCGAAGCGAGCGAAAGCGGCTGGGGAAGGCGCTGGTGGCCACAAGGCCTTTGGCAGCTGGAGATGTGGTGCCTTGGAGAAAGACATCTGGTGCACTCCGATGAAATGTGGCTGGAAATTCTCCATAAATGAAGGTGTCTAGCTGGGAAAATGATACGAACATCATAGAAAAATATGGGAAAAAACACGGAAAACACACTATAAATGGAGGTGTCTAGCTGGGAAAATCATCTATTTCTATGGGGGATGAGTTCCATTGCCATGTTTAATTACCATCATCCATCATCCTATTGCTGGTATACCCAACGTTCAACCTAAATTGGAGAGTGTTAATTGTTGGGTTTTACCGTTTTACCGTTTTACCTCATCAAACAGCATTCTTTATCAATGCGGATTTCCCTCCGGTGTCATCAAACATGGCGGGCCGCTGGGAAATCTCCGAACTAGCCGTGGAGGTGGACAAATCATCAAACTAAATGTGGGATTTTCCAACAAACCATATTTGCCTACCGGAGGGTATTATTGAGGGATTATCATATCACCCTCAATAGATTGGTATAAGGAAAGGCCTACAGGAAACAAAGGGGTTTTACACCACAAGACTTTGCTTTTCCGGGATTTTCGCAGAAAAAAAATGGGGATGAACTTTGCCCACTTATAGTTTTGTTTGTAAATCCATCCAACTACAGCAGTATGTTAAAATGTATTTTCCATAAATCCAACACTTCACCCGAACTCAAGCGACTTAGCAAAGTACCTTAGCTAAGTTAGCTATCAGACTGGTAAGTTATATCATGTTATTATATCATGTTATATCCCAGTTATCCCCAATCATATCCCTACTTGGTGGCTCATCCCACGAATCGTAAGTGGGTTATAACATGTTATAACCCCAGTTTTTTGAGTGAATTAACTCTACTTATCCCATTTATAACTGGGGTTATAACCCACTTACGAGCCGTGGGGTGATCCACCAAGTATGAAATCCTCCCAGTAATGTCTGATATGTCTGTGAAAATCCCCGAAAATCCCCAGGTGTTGGTGGACAAGCCGTTCCTTGTGGTCTCCAACCCCGACAGCCTCGAACGACGCCGGATGAAAATGGCGATGTTTTTTGGGTGGGACCTACGAACTGAGATATGAAGAAATGTGATATTATATGATATATTATTATATGATATATCTATATCGTTTGTATATGATTTAACATGATATTGACATATGTTACATGATATGATATGAGTTGATTCTATATCTTCCTATGAATTTCCGAACTTCAGTTGGATCATCATATCCTGATAACTTGATCCCTAGACTCTAGACCGCCCCATTTGATCATGGGACCATTTTGATGGGACCATCCCCCCCCGTGGGCCAAGTGGGGACGATCCAGGATGGGTCAATCGCTGGGATTGCTACTTTGAGATGATGAAGCTGGCGCAAGGTCACTTGAGTCATCTGGATGGCTGCTTTCGACCAATTTTGGCTGTAAAACAGGATTGCTCCCGATTAGGTACATGATAGATAGCCAAAGTGGAAGGGAAAATGGTGGCGTTTTACCCATGTTCGACATCGCTGTACTGGGCTGTTGATGGAGACCTTTTGGTTAATAAATGCAACGGGGACATTGGACTTAGGAACGAATCTTGGGAATCGGTTGGCACCATAGCGAAGGACTTGGGATATTTTGTGGATAACCAGCTGGGAATCGGTTTTGATCGGTTGACCCGATTTGGATGGTAAGTGCAGCTGATGATCTTCTAAAGCTTGGCTGGGAAGTGAAACTTATCAGAAGGTATGGTGCAACCAGTTATAGTAAATCAAGTTTGTTTTGTAGTGAACTCCTAATGTGTTCATGATAAGATCATTCAAATCCCATTTTGTTCACGGCTAGACCAGCACCCATGCGCAGGGGGCAAGCCTGAGCTTCTCGAAGCCTTTGAAGCAATGGTGCCTCAATGGCAGAGCCCAGGAGATTGGCCCAACAAATGGGGCAAAGCCGTGTCAATGCCACGATTAGCCTCCGATAAAAATAAGGGAATACCCTAATTTCAGACAAAGCCAAACGGATCAAAACATCTTCAAAAACTAGAAAAAAAACAACAACTTCCAAGAAATTTACCTATCAACAACAAGATTTTTTTACCTATCAACGACCTGTCTCTCCGTTCTTTCCCAGTCGCCCAGGACGATGGTGGTCCGGAGGTGGTGGCCTCGCTGTCCACGGCGGCCCTGGACACCCTGCAGTTGATGTGGCGCTCCGCCGGCAGCCAAGCGCTGTTGGTGCCCGAAGCGAAGAAGGAGAAGGACAAGTTGAAGGTCTGGGGAAACCCATTAATCATTATTATATAATCATAATCATAATCAATCAAGAATCAATCATAATCATTAGTCAATATTAATCATAGTCAATCAATGATTATATATGATAATAAATATTAAATGATGATAATGAATCAATATTGATCATTAATGGTAGTCATGATAATATATGATAGTCAATATTAATCATAATTCATCTTAGTCATGATCTATGATCATAATCATAATCATGATTAATAATCATAATATGTGATAATAATCATCAATCATCATATCAACACAATCTTACAGCTCCATGTATGGAATGTTATGGAATATGTAGCTATATACATTTAAGAAATGAAATGACCCACATGTTGGTAAATAGTCCATGCATGGAGCATATGTGCATAATTATTTTTATGATAGTGATTGGTTTGATGCTTGACGATTGATTGTTGAAGATCTTTGTCATTGGTAGAACTCATGATCATGATGATGATGATGATGATGATCATGATGATCATGATGATCATGATGATCATGATGATGATCATGATGATGATTCGGTTTATTGTAATTTGGGTAAGCCAAATACAAACTACAGCTAGCTTTACCAGTCAGAGGGGTGATCAAAAGTTTACTTTACATGGGTTTGCAATCCTTTGCATGGGTTCAGTACGGTTTAGTAATAGTACGTTATAAGTCGATGGAATAGAACTACAAGCAAACTGGGAGCATAAGGAACCGATGTCTATCACCTTTTTTTGTTCAAGACATACCAATAAAAATCAACAAATATATCAAATTAAAAACATCCATCAGGAATCATCAGATAAAACATACATGGTCCATCAAAGTCGTCCTTTCCCTTGGTTTCACCCTGTGTTCACCACATCAGGTCGCGGGGGGCTTCGCGCGCTGGCAAACCAACCAGCACGAGTTCCCAGCTCTCGCTGCGCGACCGCGACGCGCCATGTATTGGCTGGCGCCCAAAGTGGCGCATTCCTGCGATCCCAATGTGGGTTGGGAAGACCCCGCTGAAGCTACTTGGGCGATTCTGGTGGGTGGAGATTGGGAGACTTGTTGACACGGCTGAACATGTGCAATTTGTTGAATGGGCAAGTTGTATGTCAATGTATATGAAGGGTGCATTTTTGCCATTGCTCCGTTGGATTTACCGGGGCATAGTTTCACAATGGAAAATCCTGCATTTATAGATCATTTTCCCATGAACATCTCCATTGATGGGGATGTCCCCTTCAGCGCTGGATTACCGGAGGCAGCTACCTTGGTAATTTGTTTGGTGAGAGCCGCTGAGATGGTGGGATCATATGTCCAAAAATGGCCTAAGGTCATGATTTAATCTAATAGCCATTTTATTTAGTCTAATTTTAAGCAATTGTTATCATGATTTAGATAATATGATTTATCATTATTTATCTAATATTACTTAATTTGGATGGTATTGTTTGGGATATTGTGATATATAACGGGAAATATTTCGGCAACAATATACAGTTGGATGGGTCAGCAAATGGGGTTTAGCGCTTGACATGTTTAAATAGGGAAAAACATTGAAAAACTGATTATGAAAAAAAATGATTAACTGGTGGATGGAATGGGGGGTACCCTGATGGGGACTGCGGTGCTTTATGCAAAATCATGTGCCGTACCCTCGGGTAGTCAGTCACATGTCTTGCTGGAAAATTTCGTCATTTCGTCCGATGAATTGCCCAGTCACAAAATGCCCAAATTTCGTTCACGATTTAGCAGCCAGCCATGTTTGATTGCTGGAGGGAAGTATAATGACTGGCTGGCGGTTTCAAACATGAATTTTATGTTCCATTTCATATATGGGATGTCATCCTTCCCATTGACTAATATTTTTCAAGATGGTTAAAACCACAAACCAGATAACCATTCTTACTATTCTCATGGGATCACGATAAGAGAGGCTGCCAATTCTATCTTGGTGAAATCGCCAGGTTCCGTTAAATCCTGTTCTGGTGAAATTCCACTGTCCTGATTAAAATTGTAAATCCCACTTCTTCGGTTTCTATTTCTTTCCAAGTTCTTCCACCGCGAAAAGTCCAAAACTGGTTGGTGGTTTGGAACATGAATTTTATATAATGTTATGACTTTCCATTCAGTTGGGAATAATCATCCCAACTGACTTTCATATTTTTTATTTTTCAGAGTGGTTGAAACCACCAACCAGAAAATCATGGTAAAATCCCATGGGTTTCTCTTCACTGCCGAAGAGACCATGCCGCCCTAAAGGACGGCATGGTGGAGCTGCGTGCGCTGCGTGACATTGCGCCACAGGAGGCTCGAAAATCCACGGACAAAATGGAGGTTGTAATGGGAAAAATAATGGGACAATGCGGTGGGAAGAACTATCATAAAACTACTTTAAATCTACTTTAAATGGAGGTTTCTAGCTAGAACATCATTTATATAATATATATATTATATATTATATATATTATACATATTATATATACATATTATATATATATTGTTTTTCTTTCTCCAGCAAGCCGCATTTACTGGAGGTTAGCCTTGAAAAGTTGATTGTAGTACCACATTGACAGCTTGATGGCAAAGTTTTGGCCCCGGAAAAAGCCAATAATAATGGGATTGTCTGGGGATTATGAAAAGATGCATTGTTCAACGACCCATCCTCTCAGTCACCGGACTATGTGGGTGTGTCTGAGAATGGGGTATACTCCCTTTGGCAAATCATTAATAGAGATACAAGGATATGGTCATAATATGTCATAATCACCAGCAAAAATAGGAATGATAAATGGTAACTACCTTACATGGTTCATTCAATAATTCGGAAATGACATCAACAAGACGGGGGTGATAATACTAGGGATGCATGGGGATGTATTGGGGATATCATGGGATATATATATATATAGATATATAACCAGCATCAATCAAGATCGATTAAGATGGTTGATAATGGTTGATAACCATAGATGGGGATATTTCCGGGGGATCCACTTGTGGTTCACCAACACTTTGATGACTCAAATGGGAGTGTTCGCATGGCAATCCAATGCGGAGACGATGGGGATGTCGGGAGACGATGGGGATAGAATGAGGATGGCCCATCGCTGACGCGAAAGTTGGGGTGGTCTATTTTTTTCGGCTCACAACATGAAATAAAGTGATACTCTAGATGACACTTAGGTGGCTAAGTCTCAAATTGCTGTGCAAACCTTTTTGCGAATGGATAGAAGTCGGAAAGGGTAATTACTCCTGGAGTAATTGCGGGTGCTAAAAGCATCAACCGTTGTGAACATGGGATGTGACAATTGGTTCTCAATCAACGAAAAAAAGGTGTTGAACCGAGTTGAACCTGGTAGAAACTTGATATGAGTTGGTAGAGATTACTTCCTATAATCAAACTTGGCAATGAACAACTCTGAACAACTCCCCATAATATGTACCCTCTGGTAAACATACCAAAAACTATGGAAAATCACCATGTTCAATGGGTAAATCCACTATTTCTATGGTCATTTTCCATGTCGCTTTTTGTATGTTTACCATGGCAGAGGGTATCCAGTCAGGTCGATGATTCTCCCAGGTCGATCCATAGCGAATTCTATGCAGAATAAGAAGGAATCCCATTATGGGAATTTCATGGGAGGGATGACAACCTATATACATAAATATATATGTGTATATATATATATACGTGATACACGTATATACACCATGTATACACCATGTGTTGACCATGGCACATATCGACCGTTTCAGACCGCAAGAGCGCAGGTGCTGGGGGTGAATTACATGGATGCAGACTTCCTTCTCCTATCCCGTCCCGCGCATGGAGGGGATGCTCTGAACTTGTTGGGCGGCTGAACAGCCACAAGGGTTCCAACAGCTTCCATTCAAAATGGTGGTAAGTATGGAAATCTCGTGGGAAGATGGGAATATGCGGCTACAATAGTGATAGACCACGTCGTACTCGTAGGACTTTTGAAGAGTCTGAGGGGCCCTCTTGTTGGTGGTTTGGATCACGATACAAACAATAAAGATGAACATAGATGAACATGTTGCATTTGCAATTGTTAATCTATATTTTAGCTAGAGAGGAAAGTCAACTATGATTTTGAATATGACAACTGACATATCCTTTCCAATTTTGAGGCCGCTGGGTTTTGATTACCTGCACGCTAGTGCCCCCCCGTTGTGAAATGTTTGTGGTTCATGTTAACCCCATGAACTAGTTCGATATATCTACCCTGTATCATGTATCCTAGTTATGTAAACCTTCTCAGCGAACAAAATTCACATATATAAATCACAGTGTAGCGGATAAATACCATGAAACAACCATGACATAGTCATGACATAGTCATTACATAGCCATTGAATGACCATCAAATGACCATTAAATAAGCATCAAATCCCAGCTCTGGCTCGAGGCAAGGTGCGACAAGAGCGTCTGCTGGCGGAGAGGAAGTTTCACTGCGTTCCCTGGAGAGGGACCCAGGGACCAATCCTATGGATGGAGCTCCCCCACCAGCAAAAGGATGGTTGAAACATGTTGAAACATGTTGAAACCCTATCTGGTTGGTGACTGGAACCATGGAAATTTTGAATGACGAACTCCAGAAACAGTTGGGAATGGAAAATCATCCCAACTGACGAACTCATCCCAACTGACGAACTCATATTTTTCAGAGGGGTTGAAACCACCAGCCAGCTATAAATAGTTGGATAAACCACCCATCAGCTGATTGGGATTTCACAACCATCAGTATGTCATGGAAATCCGCTTCAAAAAAGTGCTGGAAGTTTGCCTGACAATCAAATTCGCCTCAATAGCCCAAATAAACCAAATTGGGGATTGTCCATAGTTTTTGGGGTGGATTTCCAACTGAATGGTTGGGAAAATCGATGCAGGCAAGACGGGCAACACGCCACGTGGTAAGTGCTTGCTTCCATAGCAAGCCTCATCAATCATGGTTTTTCCATTGGGAAGTGGGTTTTACTCAGCATGAAAGCATGGTTGGTTGGGTAGGTGTTTTGATGTTTGGTGGATATTGGTGGTTTGGTGATATGTGACTATGGTTGTTAATTATCAGCGATAAGCGGCAGATATGATCCATTGTTCATCCGTTTATGTTTTATCCAATAGTTTAGGAAGTTTAGGTGAAGATAAGAATGATATGTTGAGAAAAAGCATGGTCAATCCATGTATGTTTCACTATTTGTCGTTATGTCTTATATTTATTTTATACCCTCTGGTAAACTAACGTAACTATGGAAAATCACCATTTTCAATGGGTAAATCCACTATAAATGGGTCATTTCCCATGGCTATGTTAAATTACCAGAGGGTATATAGTTTTGGAGAATCATCATGTTGAATACATAAATCATCGAAGTCAATGGGCCATGGCAACGTAGGCCACTTCCCTACGTTGCTGGCCTTCCAAAGCGCCTTCTATTAGTGGTTCTTGGGGATGCAACGAATTGCACGGATCTATAGTGAAATTGATTAATATGGAATTAACTATGTTATATCATATATCATGTTATATCTATGTCTATTATATATATATATATCATGTTATATCTATTATACATATTCATGTTATATCATGTTATATTGAAAGTGATCTATTCATAGATCATGTTATATCTATCTAGGCGTTTTTTTGGATGATTCTTATCCTCAGTTATCATATTCCACATAGAAGATCCTCAGTCAGATTCATGGGTCATGTATAATAATGTATATAGGGGCTTATAAGACCACTTCTTGAAGCGATTCGGCGATTCCTGAAGTCAGCCAGTGTCAGCCTTTGAGGTCTGTGATCGCTGCCTCGAAAAATCTCTGGATGAAATCCCTGTAGCACCTTGGAAGATGATACGGAAACTGTGTCTGAAGAGCCGTGAAACCGTTCTGAAGAATGTTGTTTGTTTCTGGTGATTTGTTTGAGTTTAATCATCAGAGTCAGTGTTGAGTTGCTGTGTTTTAATGATTTTTATAAACTTTGCTTGATGGAGAAGATCATATAGGTGTGTCTGAAAACTAGGGTACACTACAATTTATGGCTATCTAAAATAGGAAAAATGTAAAACATGGTGAGTAGCCATGCAGAATTCATTGCGGATCAACCCCAGCATGGCGTTCCCATTATCATGGTCCCATGTTTGTGAGATGTTGTTTTTTTCTTTTTTTAAATGCATATTATATTCAATCTGATTTCAGGATGATTATATATACACATAGATATGTGTACTATATATATATAATGTGTAACATATTAAGTGTTGCTGTACATATTTTATATAGACACATATTATGTATAGTATGTATATATATATATGATATGTAGATTGTATACGTTATATTATTTTCTATTTCAGATTAATATTTATCAGTTATGTTGTATCACATTAGGTATATTCCCATTCCATAGCGCCAGGGTCACTGGCTCAGGTCGTCGACCCGGCCATCCCATCGGCTTCGCCGTCGCCAAGGGATTTCAAGTGAATTTTGGCAGCACTTTGGGCAATATGGGGCGCAAACTCAATACCATAAACTGCCATAAACCAAAACCTTTTGGTTTGTTGGAGAAAGGAGGATACCAAAAAATGGTTCGTTGAAGGTAAAACAGGACGATCAACAGCGTGTACGTTTGGAATCCCTATTTTAGACTTCGGACAAAGCCATTTGTAGGATGTTAAAACATGTTAAAACCATACACCCAAAAGCCACGTTGTTCCCTTCACTACACCAGCTACCAAGGTGTGGGTTTTAAAGATGACCTCTGGTAATTTTGCGCCCAGACACCTCGTTTCACCCAACATCACCGTTAGGTTTGAAATGTCAGGGTTTCAGCATAGGGTTCTAGGGTTTGGGTGTTTAATGCTTAGGGCTTAGGATCTTCCTTGATTTTTGTTCATAGTCTTTATGGTTTAGGCTGTAGGGTTTAGGATTTAGGGTTTTGCGGCTTTGGGATGTTAGGGTTCAGGATGACTTGTGCAATGATGCACATACTTGAGCTTTTCAGGAATTGCCAGAATGACCTATGATTTATAGAGTATTGAGAGTGCTTCGGGCAAGACGGGTGTTTGGCCGAGTTATTTTACATTATTTAAATAGCTATGAAAAATGGTCGATTCTGCAGAGGCAAAAAAATATGTTTGTTGTGATGTTTGAGATTGTTTCAGTGTTCGGTCATGGGTGTTGGTAGAAAATCCCTTGCGCCCAGGTGGATCGTCGGCAACGTTTCTGCCCTTTCTACGGTCTTTGCAAGATCATTTGCGAGCGGGAAAGATCGAGGATGGGCTCCGCTTGGCGCGTTTTCTTGCTGGAGAACTCCCTTGTTAAAAACTGAATTACCCTCTGGTAATTTAACATAACTATGGAAAATCACCATGTTTAATGGGAAAATCCACTATAAATGGCAATTTTCAATAGCTATGTTAAATTACCAGAGGGTACGTGTAAGGCCAACAAAAATCGGGTTTACAACATGATTTTCCTATTGGAAATCGCTTTTGTTTGGTGTCAAGGATCGATATCTTGGTTTTTAAGGGTGTACCCTGGGTAAACCGACTAGTGAATGGTTGGTGAATGGATGATTGTATTTACATGTATTTACAAGTTTGAAAAATTGATAGAATATCAATAATTATCCTGCTTCTCAATATTTTTTGGATATTCAGAGATTAGTTTTTTTTTGCAGGGCAGCCATGTATGATGAAGCCAGCGGTGTATGTATATATATAATATATATATATATTATTCAGAGTACAGAGTGCCGTGCCCTTTGGTAGTCCGGCACGGATGGATGTTCAAAAGGCAGAACATCTGTAAATGGTGCACGTGAAAAATTTCCGGCTAGATTTCTAGAAGATATATACATATAATCATATATATATATATATGCTCAGCCCCCCCCCCAACGACCCCCCTCAACCCGCCATCTGCTTCACTATGCTTGACTTGTGTCTGCACAGAACCACGTTGAAGTCACCAACGAGTCGACCCTGCCGCAGCAGCATCACTTTTGCTAAGCTGAGGTCTTATGCTGCTGTGAAAACTGCCTCTACGCACCAATCGCTAATAGGAAAATGTTTGCGCTTGAGACTTTCCTACTAACATTTTTTTTAAATTTTGAAAGACTAGTATATTTTACATTGCATTTGTTTACGGGAATTTCTATCCTCCAATCAGACGATTGGTGCGATCGGATGGTGGAGGAGTCCTGGAGCCACTCTTACACCCAAAACTGCCATAATCTATGGCACCACCTCCGTGAATGGCTGAGTTGAAGCTGGACAGATGCATGAATGACAGACAGGTCAAGGCAGTAGTTTGGATTTGAAACAGTTCAGTTACGGATTGGCAGATGCATGAGTGACAGACAGTGTTTGCATTTAAGAAATATTGGAGAAATTATGAGTTTTCATATTCTTATAATCTTCTGGGGTCACTCCATGAAACAATTTAAAAAAAAACGAAGAAGCAAATGCGATGATCCAGGAAGCAGTTTGGAATTGAAATGGCTGAGTTGAAGCTGGACAGATGCATGAATGACAGACAGGTCAAGGCAGTAGTTTGGATTTGAAACAGTTCAGTTACGGATTGGCAGATGCATGAGTGATAGACAGTGTTTGCATTTAAGAAATATTGGAGAAATTATGAGTTTTCATATTCTTATAATCTTCTGGGGTCACTCCATGAAAAAACCAAAAAAACCTTGAGAAAACAAAAAAAACAAAAAAAACAATATTTTCAGACTCTTCTGGGGTCACTCCATGAAAAAACCAAAAAAACCTTGAGAAAACCAAAAAAAACAAAAAAAAACAATATTTAGCGATTCTTTGGGGGGGGGGCCCTCGAGATAGTTTCTAAATATTGTTTTTTTTGTTTTTGTTTTTTTTGGTTTTCTCAAGGTTTTTTTGGTTTTTTCATGGAGTGACCCCAGAAGAGTCTGAAAATATTGGTTTTTTTGGTGTTTTTAGTTTTTTTGGTTTTCTCAAGGTTTTTTTTGTTTTTTCATGGAGTGACCCCAGAAGAGTCTGAAAATATTGGTTTTTTTGTTTTTTTTGGTTTTTTTGGTTTTCTCAAGGTTTTTTTGGTTTTTTTCATGGAGTGACCCCAGAAGAGTCTGAAAACATTGTTTTTTTTTTGTTTTTTTTTGGTTTTTTTGGTTTTCTCAAGGTTTTTTTGTTTTTTTTCATGGAGTGACCCCAGAGGAGTCGGAAAATATTGTTTTTTTTTTGTTTTTTTTTGTTTTTTTTTGTTTTCCCGATGTTTTTTTGATTTTGGGTCGGCGGTCAATTGTGTTTCTATGGGGCCTTCCCCAAAGTGCCTTAAGATATTGTATTGTTATGACTATATACGAAGAAGACAAAAATGGAATACTAAAAATACGCACTTTATGCTGTAAATAACAATACAAATGACACATTGGGGGGTCGTAGGGGGGGGTGACCATATATATATATACATGGGTACAATTCCACACACGTGTGTATATATATATATATATCATATGTTACGTTCAGATCTATGCAAGTATAGCGCAGATACCCAATCCCTACATATGTTTGTAATTTGAAAGCTGTTGATTTTAGCCATGTCCCCAAACATGGTTCATTAATCTTCCCATCAACATAGGTGTAATCTCCCTGGTGTCAAAAGCCTGTTAGAATAGTCCGAAAATGAGTTTTAAAGGGAAAATTGTTCACCATATTTCAGGCCAAAAAACATGACAAAACATGACAAAACCATACAAAACCATACAAAACCAAGGGATTCCCCTACAAAAACTCTCGCGCAGAGGCTTGCCTTGCAGCGTTAAAGATTCTCCAACTGGATGCATCTTCAGGCGACTCTGAATGCGGATTGAAACCTTTAGATCCTTATGGATTAATGGGATTTTAATGGATTGAATGAGATTTGAAGAGGGTTTAGTGGGACTTGGGATGAACTTCTTGGGATATCATGATGATATTTTTTGGTGTAATAGAGTTATGGAAAACATAAAAACGGGATGATTTACCATATTCAATATTCAACATGTTGACGCATGGTGATACAATGTGGATATAATGGAACCAACTAACCAACAATATCTGACTATAAGGGGTTTGGTCCGAAAATGGGGGACCCCAAAATTCGCAGGACGCACGTGGAGATGGATAGGGATCAATGGTGATTTTCATGGCAATTTAACATATTTAACCATCAAACATGCGGATATGATGGGATATACACCTCTAAATACCCTCTGGTAAACTAACATAACTATGGAAAATCACCATTTTCAATGGGAAAACTCACTATAAATGCCCATGTTCAATAGTTATGTTAGTTTACCAGAGGGCACATGTAAATACAATATTTGCTTGGACGAAAACCCCTGTAAAACCAGCTATGTGGGGTTCACCAGTTCACCAGGGCACTGGCGTCTTGACCCATTTTTTTCCATGTGGCTATGGCTCCTTCAATGGCTCCAATATGGGAAAATCAAAAAAAAACATGGAAAATCATGGAAAATCATCCAAGACTCAAGACCTATTTTCCAGTTTTTGCAGATGAAGACAAGCTATTCCGGTATGTCCAGAATCAACCAATTCCGGAGATCAAGACACAAACACCCATTTTAGAAACTCTGGTGGTATGTAATTTAATATGTATTGGCTCAGAAGTATGGGATGTGTATTGGTATGGCTCCAATTTTCCTCAAGTTTGTTCGTAATTCGTAGAAACCAGATGAACTGCTCTTTTTGCTGAGTGGAACAAACTAGTAAAAAACCATCCCCGATGTATTGGCTGCATTTCTTGGGCATCTCTTGAGGTGACGATCTCATTCAGCTCGCTGAAGCGTTGGGCCGGGAGCTACAAGGTGCGAGATCAATAGTTGGAGGTCTAAACCTATGACCAGGAATGGCTGAAAATGAGTGTTTATTTCAATGGATTGGAGTAAGGGAAAATTTACAGGAAAGCCCCATATTTAATGGGAAAATCTATGGTTTCCTGTAAATTTTCCCTTAAACCAATCCATTGATTATTAATTTTTCCCGTTATTTAGTGCAACGATTTTTTTCCGCGTTCCCTGTAATCCAACATGACGTCACCAGAATGATGTCAGTGGGTTAACTGGATGGGGAGCTTGGTAACCAATCTTTTGCGAAAAACATTGGTTTAGTTTGGAAAAACTATAATACTATGGTTTATAAGTCCAATAACATCCAATAACTATGGTTTATAGGTGATATAATGTGATATATCTATAATTAATGGGATTATAATCTGGTTGGTGGTTTCAAACATTTTATTTATTTTCCATGTCATATATGGGATGTCATCCTTCCCAACTGACTTTCATATTTTTCAAGATGGTTAAAACATGTTAAAACCACCAACCAGATTTTTTTTTTCTGCTAACCAGCTGAAGATTTATGGTTGGGTTCTCTGAGATTCGCTTATGCCATGCATATGCATATTTGAATACATGGCTATGTTTCAAAATCCTAAGCCTGCAGTTCACAGCAAAATGGCCCCAGTTTCAGGTTGGTGTTTTCTTACAATTCAGTTAGGAAGGTGGCAATGTGAAAAGCATCCGTATTTTCTTCCCATTAACCACCCTTCGAAGGTAATGAGAAACTGTGTTTATATTTCCATATATGTCCAAACTCTACAAAACTGTAGTTTTCATTTGTGGTGACATAGTTTGTTTATTATACATGTACTGGGTACTGTTTTTCGCAGGGTGTGTATAAAAACCTTCAAACCATTTCAAACCCATACATCATGCCCGGATGCACCGTAAATTACCGTAATGAGTTTCTTGGTTGGGTTCAAATCCTGTTGGTTTCCGCAACGTTTCCGCGTTCCTGACAGGCGATGCATCCAGCGACGCATTCAATTCCTTGGATTGAAAAAAACGGGCCGCCGGGGACGGCTGGGAGCGCCATTCTCCACCATTGCAGAAGTGCCGAGACCAAAGAGCCTTCAACTAGGAAAAGGGGATTGTCTGAACATAGGGTACCCCATTCCATCCATTGGTTCATCAATGTTAATCATCATTGTCCCAACATAAAAATTGCTATTTGGGGATATATACTCCATTTTTAGACAACTGGGATATGAAGTGAATAAGTGAAGTGATACTACAAGAATGGTGTTCCATTGAGTCTGGTCCTTGATGCGGCATGATGAACTAACACGCGCTGGGTATGATCACCCACTTCCACGGTGTTCCCAATCCCGAACAAATGTGGTCTGAAAATAGCGTTCATCCTCAAAATGTCATGGTTTTCGCATCATTTCCCCATTAAAATCGCCAGAAATCCGGATATCCACCCACCATTTTTGGGGCAAACCCAACTTCAGTTAAGCTACGACGTCAGTGAATCATTTGATTTTCCATCCGGTAATCAAACATAGCAATAGAACATGTCCTATAAATGGAGTTGTTAAGGGAAAAACATCTATAAGTGGTGACTTTTCCATTGCCAAGTTTGATTACCGGAGAGTATATCATCTTATCTCCTTATATATTTGATATTGTTGAACCGCCATTCTTGGAGCATCATTCGCCACCAATTGAAGCCTTGGAGTCTTAGAGTGTCTTTTCAGTATCTATATCCCAGATATTATATGATGCAGCATAATTTGTAATTCTTCACTGGCAAATCCATTCTTCAATATTCCGTCTGACTAGCAGAAAAAAAAACATGAAATCAATATTTATCATTCAAAATACATATTCCAACTAGAACAACTTAATGAATCCATGCTTTGAATCACGTAAAAAAGAACATGACAAGCCGAACACTCCACGAAATCTTACTAATTCATTTCAAACAAATCGGATGGGTCTAATAATTACTCTTGAGACTCGGGAAAATCTACAAAAACCCATCATAACCCATCAGTGGATCCATTGTTCACGGCCAAAAAACACGGGTTTTTCCGGTGGATTTTGCCCAGAAGCCAGGTTCTGGTGCCGCTATGCCGTGGTCCGGGAACTGCCGCCTGGCGAAGATCTGCCATTTTTTCGGAAACAAATCGGGATGTAAGCAACAAACATGGAGATTGAATGGTGATTGATGGGATTTTGTGGGATTTAATGGTGATTGAATGGGATTTAGTGGGATTGAATGGAGATTGAATGGTGATTGAATGGGATTTAGTGGGATTTAATGGTGATTGAATGGGATTTAGTGGGATTTAATGGTGATTGAATGGTGATTGAATGGGATTTAGTGGGATTTAATGGTGATTGAATGGTGATTGAATGGTGATTGAATGGGATTTAGTGGGATTTAATGGTGATTGAATGGGATTTAGTGGGATTTCATGGTGATTGAAATGGATTTAGATGGATTTAGTGGGATTTAATGATGATTGAATGGGCTTTAGATGGATTTAGTGGGATTTAATAGTGATTGAATGTGATTTAGTGGGATTTAATGGTGATTTAATAGTGATTGAATGTGATTTAGATGGATTTAGTGGGATTTAATAGTGATTGAATGTGATTTAGTGGGATTTAATGGTGATTGAATGTGATTTAGATGGATTTAGTGGTGATTGAATGGGATTTAGATGGATTTAGTGGGATTTAATGGTGATTGAATGGGATTTAGATGGATTTAGTGGGATTTAATGGTGATTGAATGGCGATTGAATGGGATTTTATGTTGATTTAACAAGATTTGACATGATTTAGCCAACAAACACGGTGATAAAGTGGGCTAAACTTTTTGGAACAATGAAGTCTTTCTTCGACTGCGCCGGCTGCGCCGACTAAACTTGCGAGTGCCGTTCGTTCGAAAGGGCGGTAAACATGGTAATCCATTGCGAATATTTGGAGATAATTCGGATATTGGATAATGCAATGATTGTAATGGGGATATGATGGGGTGAACCGGGAATGATATATATATATGATATTATTTGGGAAATGTGTGGTGACCTCAAGTAATTTACACAGCTATGTGGAGTTTGGAAAAAATGCTGTATATACTTCGAGTGATCCCCCCTGAGCCTGACAAATTATTCTGACATAGTTTCTGACATATGATCTGGATAAGGTATATTTATATCCCCTCAAGTACTTAGGGTCTGGAATGGGTAGACCTCCAGGACTCCTGTAGCTATATAGGGTCTTTTTTACTGTCAGACTCAAAGTAGACCCTTCTGATTATGTGTATTCCAGACCCTGTGTTGCCCCTGTTAACACGGTTTATGTTCCCGAAACGGAAGCCTAAAATGTCTAAAGATTGTTTCCCGAAATGGAAGCCTAAAATGTCTAAAAAATGGTTCCTTGCCGCTTCCGTTGACTGAAAGGTTTTGCAGGTGTGGAAGAGTGTAGACATGTATAGACCGACCCTAAAAGTGATATGTAACATGATCCCATTCAAGACGCCATGCTAGACCAGCATGATATGGCAGCCATGAATTTATGTTCATCTAAGCATTTCAGAGTTGACCTTGCCGTCCACTAATAGTCAAATAAGAAGATTACATGAAACCCGCAGGTAACTCAGCAGCTCCTAAAAAGACTTGGGTTTTAGGCTCTGAAATGTAAAATCCAAGGACCCTGCCAAGTAGCTGAGAGTGTGTGTATGTGTATTTATATATATATGTGTTTATTCATTCTGACATTCTATCTGGTCAAAGGAAATTTAGTTAGAAAACTTCCGAGTTACGGACAATTGTCATGGTTAGCATTCCCAGCATCATGTCAACCACATCATCATGTCAACCAACCAGCATCAAGTATATTGGGAAGTGTATAACAGTTCGAGAACTTGTGAGTTCACTGGTGAGAGCGTCGTGCGCGAAACCCTGTGTTTTTTTTCGGGTATTGTGGCTCCTGGAGACGCCGAAGCAGGTTCTCTGTTTCCCCAGGTTCGGGGCTCGATCTGGGAAAGTTGTCGGCAAAAAGCGCACAGGATTTTAGTGATAGCTCGGTTTCCACTTCAACATGTTAAAAAAACTCAGGTGCGCGGGCGCGAAGCACTTTTGGAAGATGAGGTCGGCAAAATGTGAATGAGACTGTAGCGAGAGCTCGATTTGCACCTCAGAATTGCCACAAAACTGAGGGGACCGGAGCACTTTTGAGAGATGAAGTTGGCAAAGTGCGCACGAGACTCTAGCGAGAGCACGATTTACATGTCATCATCATCATCATCATCCTCATCATCATCATCATCATCCTCATCATCATCATCATCATCGTCATCATCGTCATCATCGCCATCGCCATCGTCATCGCCATCGTCACCATCATCGTCATCGTCATCATCATCATCATCATCATCACCACCATCATCATCATCATCTCCACACCTTTCTCAACCACGTCTTTCTCAACCACGTCTTTCTTTCGTTGCAATCTTCATCTCATCGCTTTCCATCTCAAAAGCAGTTCCTATAAGATCTATAAGCAAACCTTTTCCTATAGTCATTTCCTTTTATTAAAACTTCTGCCTCGGCGCGTGCCGGGCACTACTGGCATTCTATTTGGCATTCTTTCTGGCATATACTCTGACATGCCTTCTGGCGTTCGATCTGGCATCATTCTATCTGGCATCATTTCTGGCGCCTATTCTGACATTCTACCTGGCACCCTCAGTGCCACTGAGCGAGAGCCAGTTGAGCTCTGGTGCTCGCGATTGCGGAGTGCCCACTGAGCTCCGGCGCTCGCCGTTGAGGTCCGGCAGTGCCCACTGAGATCTGGAGCTCACAGTTGGCGCGGAGGCAGGCAAGAGGCAGAGGCGGGCAAGAGAAGAGGGCAGGCTAGCTCTGATAAAGTCTAGAGACCCTCACCTGGCAGGTGTGGAAAAAGGGCATCGGATGGACCCGCGAGCGGCTGGCAATTTTTAAGGGGCTTTGACGAACCAAAAAGCCAACAACCATGCACTGTAATGTTCATGAACAGCTAACAACAACCCATACGTTTTGGGGGAGGGCAAGTACACCTCTCATATCATGTGCATACACACACATATATATATATATATGTATAGAGAGAGAGAGAGAGAAAAAAAAAATGTATATTTTAGATATGGATACTGGATATGGAATGGTAATGCATGGTATGGATATATTGTCTGTTTAGTATCCCTAAAAAATCACTCCATCCCTAGCATTGTTTTTCAGCCGCGCGAAATTTTCGCGAGGCCTATGAGATGCTTCATCTGTCGCCGGGAGGGCGCAGCACACCTTGAGGAGCTGTCCGGTGCACCCAGGATAGATACGCAGTTGGGGCGGAAAAAATATTGGTTGGTTACAATCCATGTGCATTGGGCAATTAAAATCCATGGCTAATGCATGTATAACCAACTATTTTTTAATGGTAAAATCCATGTATAACCCATGTGTTGGGCAATGATTTATATAGTTAGTTTTAGTTATATACTGTAGTTGGGCTAATATATTGGGTAGACTCCATGTATAACCCTAACGCCTGGTACAAATTGTTTTTGAATATATATATATATACTATATATATATATGTGAAATTATATATCATAGATGGTTATGAATCAGTTGATTGTTATATAGATGTTATATAGTGATTTGGGGCAAAATTAGGTAACCCCATAAGTTTGTATATGGTATCCCTATGATTACGGTTGATCCACTTGTGAGTGGGTTTATAATTTATATTCCACCAAGTAGGATCAATCACCACATAATAGAGACACATATTTAAAAATCACAATATAGCAGCAAATCGGAGTTGTGACAGAATGGGAATATCATCAACAGAAATGAGGATTGCATCAACCAAGGTGAGTACAAAGAGAAATGGAGAATCAAACAAGAAAAATGCCTGTTTGTGCCAGTTTGTGCCAGCAAAAAATATGTTGACAAACAGGGATGGGGAATTCAATCAACACAAAATGCAAGCACTGGTGTGTATATATATATATATAGTTGGGCATTCGGTAGAAACATTGGAGTATATCAATTGCTATTGCGGCTAATTGTAAATGAATACATGCAGTCATCAAACATTTTGGACACGACCATAAACGCAGCAAATAGTTGAATGAAAAATGCCAAACAACTACAGGTCAAGTCAACAAAACATAGCAAAACTGGTGAGGCGATCCGACTGGTATGAAATCAAACCAAAACTGAGTTCTACGACAGAAAAAAAACATGAAGAGTGCTGGCATGGCTGATGTTTGGACACCCATCTGAAAACAGTTTGCCCGGTTTTCCATTTTTTTCCCAACGAGAATTGGCCCCATCCTGAGTAGAGAGTTGACGAAGCCATCTGTCAACTACTCATTTGAGTCTTGCAAACTCCCGACTGCTGTTGTGAACACCAGTTTGTTGACTATTTACAATACAAAACCATATAATTATCCATGTGGCTCATGTTAGTTGTTGGCTATGCAAGGTTTGGAATTGGTTCCATTCATGTTACTGGAAATCATTTCGCCAAATTTATATGATCCAAATTGAACTATATAAAAAAATACACATGGAAATCCCAGAAAAAAATCCATTAAAGTTCCCATTAAAGTTCCCTAATCCCTATCCGGTTAGAGGGAAACGTAGGGCTGGGAAATCCCCTCTCTGGTTTTGTTGGTTTGGGAGATGTTGGGAGAATCATCGAACTATTGCTGGTGGGATTTTCATCAGCCATGGCAATGATGACACCAGAGGGTGTTTCTAATATTGATATAATGTTGGTGGTGACTGGAACCATGGAATTTTCCTGGTTAATCTATGGTTAATCTATGGTTAATAATGGTTAATAATGGTTAATCATTGGAATAACAATATATCTGGTTGGTGGTTTGGAACCATGGAATTTTATGACTTTCCAGAAACAGTTGGGAATTTCATAATCCTAACTGACGAACTCCATCATTTTTCAGAGGGGTAGGTATACCACCAACCAGTGATTTAATGTTGGAAATCCCATATTCGAACAGAAAAAAACATATGAATCCCATATTCTATTCCCCTATAAACATCCAATTCAAATCCTTCAAATCCCATTGAATAAAATTCCATGCACCCCCCATGGTTCCTTATTTGTGGCTTCGTTTAGGGTCCTCAAGCGCTAAGGATAGGTGAGCGCGCCGCCATTCCCAGCACCGTTCACGGCTTGTCGCTCGGGGCCCAAGCCAAAAACACGGCGGCGAACAGATTTTTCGTGACCCCCAGGAAGATGCGCCATAAAGTGACACGACACGTTGCTATCCCCATGTTTGGAAGGACAAATCTCAATCCTGGTGAGTATGGAATATGTGGAATATGGAAATCCAAAGAGGTACATCTAATGGTTTGACAAACAAATACCATGAAATCTTAAGGATTCTGGGAGTTCACATTCTTGTTTGACCTACCCAAATACCAAGTGTCTATCAAAAGCCCCTGTGAAACCAGGAGTGAAAAGATGCGCACAAGCGTCCAAATTTTGGTCAGGTTCCTGAATGAGAAACCAACTCTTAAGAAAAACAAACAAAGGGTTGCTTCAATTCAACTTCATCCTCATGTGTTGTCATGGGTCAAAATTGGAGCAAACATATCATGGTTGTTAATTCATTACGCAGAATGACTAGATATTCCCCCAAATTGATGGCATACCACGAAACAAATACCAATTTATGGGTGCGCGCCGCCCTATTTCTGAGCCAAAATCCATGGCAATCCCCAAAAAGATGCCGAAATATGTTGCGGCCCTGTTGACTTCCATGTATACCCCAGTTTAATGCGTTCAGGACCAGCAAATTCCACAAAAGCATTGAGATTTGATATACAAACAATACATATATATACTGTATATATAATTATATATATATATTATACTGTATATATCTCGCTAAAGTAATGATTCATGTTCTGCCTCGCTGACTACCCTAATTTTCTTTCGGCATTTTTTTCTCCGAGGGCATCAAATTGCCACATTTTGCTTTATGAACAGTTTTGGCAGTGAAACCATATGGACAAACTTAAATGCCAGAGTAATTGTACATGTTTATGGTCATTATATTTGTGGCAATGATTGTCAAATGATCCATAATCACTAGTAATAATTATCCCATTCCCCCATTCCCACCCATTCCCTACTAAGCACCAGTAAGTTGTGAAATGATGTTCCAAATCACCACGAAAATATGATGTCCGAAATTTCCTGACATAAAAGTGGTTGATATGCCTATGTCATAAAGTCCGTATATCCCCAGATAGAACAGTGTCTGATCACTATTCCAAGAGTGATGTACCAACTTCCATCTTTTTGGGCAACCATAAACAGGTTCAAATCATTTCAAATCTAAGTTATACCCTCTGGTAAATTAACATAGACCCTGAAAACCCCCAATTTTTAGTGGAAACTAGTCTTTCAACCCCTGTCTGCCAGGGTCTATGTTAATTTACTGGAGGGTAGATGATATAATATGATATAATGTCATGATATATCTACATAGTCTCTATATCTATATTTTCTATGTTCACATTTTATAAACTCAGTACCCTTCGCCGCTAAAGAGCGCAGGACTTGGCTCAAGGAATACTCCTTCGTGGTCGAGCTCTGTAGCCTGGCGCAACTGGAAATGTGCGCGGCAAATACCCCAGAAAAGTAGGAATTTGCCTAGCAAAGATATTGGTACCTTATAATTTGTATCATGTTTATATCCAGTGTGCTTTTAGAACAGATAAATTAATTTTTGTTCATGTATTTATGATTATATTATTTATAGTATATACGTTTTTTGTCATTTAGTTATGGAAATCCAATGGATGTCCCAAAAAACAGATCTACACGTCGCAGATGTTCTGTAAGATCATTTACTGGAGGGGAATCTGGAGATCATCAAACGGTTTTTATATGTTTCTTATCCTACCTCTGGGAGAACATATGATGTTTGTAGCTAGTGGTCAGGTCAATGCGGGATCATCCAATCCCATCCCCAATGGTTTTTCGCATCGATACAAAAAAAAAAGCGACACCTCTACGGGCACCCCCGATGAATCCCTGGTGGCCCTGGATCTATGAAGAAACCAATGATTTTTTTCAATGAATCGTACTCAATGCGCCCAAATTCGTACTCAATTGCAGAGCTTCAGTTGTTCATGTTGTTCGTATCCCCAATGGGTTAAACATGGTTAAACATGATTAAACACATCCTCCCTTTCCCATCTCCCCAGAAAAGATGGGATGGTCGTAGATCAGAAAAGCGGCCAATAATCACCTGTCCATTCTGGCGTGCCTGTCAGAGCCAGGCCCGAAATGGACCGTTGGACCTGTGTTGATATTTGCCGGTCAATATATCCCCATTAGATATATATATATATATACAAATAATAAGTATATATACATTGCATATATATATATATATTTGATATTATATATGAATACCTCTAGATATCCCCATTCTTTTTTTTCATGTCCCATTTGCTTTGGATCTTCTGGGATATTCTGATGTTCGGCGGTCCATCCTGGCGCATTCCAGGTTTACAGAATGGATCGATAATTCATGAAAACCTGGATGGATAATAGAATAATCATATTCTAGAATGGTAAGAATAATATAGAATAATATCATTATATAGAATAATAATCATTATATATCATTATTATAATCTATACTTTAATAATGATAGATTCTGATTATTATAATGATATATAATGATATAATATATCACATAATAATCTATATTTCACATCACATAATGATGGACACCCACTTTTTTTTCGATCTCATAGATTCTGATGGGTGTCTGATGGGTGAAATTGGTGAAATCACCATGGATTCTCATGATGTACCAATGGTAGTGGAATACGAATATTAAGTAGAATTAGTAGAATATAGTACTAATGGTAACTGTATTGAATTGCAATATATATTGCTATATATATATTGCTATAATATATATATATATTGCTATATATACATATAGATATTCTAATGAGTATTTGTAATATGGTATGTCAAAACATTTATACTTAACCAATATGTAATGCACCATTTATCCAATCAATGCTCTATCGGGGCGGCCCTTTTGTTTTTCACAAAACTGAGGCGGTACTCTGTGTCAGCTGGAGCGCATCTCCTTAAAGGCCAGACACACTATCATATGGTCATATGGTATATTAATGGTGTATTAATGGATAAAGGACCTAAGGAATCCTAAGAATTTCACTGGTGAATGATTGTAATTTCATGCTTGGTACGACTGTGATGTGGTACATCCACCCCGAATCATAAGTAGCGAACGGTTCACCCCACTAGTGAGTTGTACAATCCTCCTTATCTCACTGACAAAACCAGGGTGAACTAATCTACCCAACATTTGGTGGGATGAGCCATCAAGTACATATGAGAATATTTTTTGACGACCTTAGAGGTTGGTGAATGATCATGATTTACCCAGGTATGAAAGGACATCTATACATAGGTTGATTAAAACAATGATGATTTTGAATGTGTATGAAAGGGTAGAAACCCAGCTGTATACCCCCAGTTGTGGCCAATAGCGGTGAGATGATGATCAAGCACAGGATTTGGGGCTACTCAGGCACACCCAATTGTATGAGTACAGACATGTACTACGTTTGGATATGATTACAAATAATGATGTTAATGCGAAACAGACGATATGCTCCGTTATACGGAGACGCATACGACGATATGCTCCGTTATACACCCCGGGCATGTAATGTCATGATCGTCATATCAGTTGATTTACTTCTGAACTCAGTGGGGGGAGAAGATGAATATTGCATAATACTGTTGCTTCAACCACCTCTAACTATGTATCCAATCTTGTGCTTCACAGTGTAAGAAACGCTTGGTTCCATGGGCCGATCTGATCTGGAAACCTTTGGATCTGTTGTTCTTCCAAGTTAAACAGCACAATAATGTGGTTCAAACAACAATAAACCATCCCCAACATCATAAATGTGTGGTATAAATCGGTATAAACCATCAAAAATGGGCATATTATAGCATCTAGAATGCGCATGCAGTATATTCTTGGAAGTCGAGCCGAGCCTGGCCCATCGGGGGCGACCATTGGGATTGATCATGATGAATGCTTGGTGGTTCATTCCAAAAAATACGGGGAAAAATGGTGTGTACTATACACTGGTTGGTGGTTTGGAACATGTTTTCCCATATATTGGGAATAATAATACCAACTGACTTTCATATTTTTCAGAGGGATAGGTATACCACCAACCAGGTAATATACATATCACCAATACAAGTGGCTTGGTGGTTTCAATCGTGGGTCTTATTTTTCCATGCCCTGGGATGCCACCGTTTTTCGCAGATCCACAGGAATGGCAAGCTGTGTTGGCAGAACAGCAGGAGGGAAGGCCAGCTGATGGATCAGTCGGCTGTGGCGCTGCCTTTGCAGACTGATCACCTTCGGTTGACCCGTTGTCATATGCGAACATATGTGAACTGGGTTGTAAGATGTTGTAAGCCTTAACGGATCTCCTAGTCTTATATCATGGTATATCCCTTAATGATGTGGTTTCACCAGTTCCAAGTGTCTCAATGTCAAGGCCGTTCAAAAGCCCAAAAGTCAAGTATCATCTCCACGTCGCACAAATCTGTACAGCGGTGGCATGTTCATGGAAATGCAAGATCGGCTCACTTGAAAAAACGAGTACCCCAAATCCCGTTTTACAGCTGTTCCGGTGCTTTTTTTGCGGACGGTTTTGTTCGAGGAAGTTCACCTACGTTTCGTTCGGCCTCTTCGACAAAACGACTCCCAGCATGTGGCATTTCTGTGAAGACTTCGAGGTGCGGAGTTCGGAAGGCAAGATGGGATACCTGGGATATTATTTGAGTGTTAAGATGACGATATATTAACCGCTGGTAAACCAACATAACTATGGAAAACCACCATTGTTTAGGTAAATCAACTATAATAAATTGCATTTTTTTTGAAAATCCATGTTAGTTTACCAGCAGGTATGTATAATTCATTATAATTCTATGTCCAATGTGTCTTCTCATTTATATTCATTTATCACGTGTGTGTGCATCAATTAATGTACCATATGTATTTTAATATGCATATTAAAAAGGTATCATATCTATTTATCCTTTGTATCAATATGTACCATATGCATTTATCCTTCAGGATGTGTGCATCAATATGGATTTGCGAAGGTATCCACATCATTTCTCGGATGCTCTGAGCAGTGTCTCAGTGCTAGGTTGAACTGGTTGAACCACCCCATGACAGAAGCATCTCCATATGGGGCTTTCCATAAGTGGGGGGGTACCCTAAAAATGGATGGTTTATATGGGAAAAGCCAAAGCCTATGAAAATGGATGAGTTGGGGTAGCCCCATGTCAGGAAACCTTCATATATTGGGATATCATGGGACCTTATTGGAATATATAACCAACTATGTATATGTATTATTATGTATTAGTATGTTGATGTATGTTGTTCCAAGAATTTGAACATGCTTTGAATCGACACAAAATCTGACCAGATGTCAATATCAGATGAGATCCCATCATATGCCCATGACATCATAATATTCCCATCGGATACTACTGGATTAACATGTACCCTCTGGCTATGACTAACAGTTCGCCATGGAAAGATCCACCCATGTTTAATAGGTAAACCATCTATAAATGGGCCATCTATACCATGGCTATGTTAAATAATCCCATTTTTTTGTTCAGCCTACTGTAATTTGGCCCATGGCTATGGAAAGTGGCCCATGTGTAGATGATTTACCTACTGAAAACGATAATTTTCCACAGCTATGCTAAATTACCAGAGAGTAAATCCCCTATGGTGATTTCCCATGGGGGTACACCTTATCATCCATTCTAAATCATTCTAAGAGGATTGTCCAATATTAGATGGTGGATGTTCCATTATAAACCATGGATAATCCATTCTAATAGGATTTTCCATGGATGTTCCATTATAAACCATCCAACTTTTTTCGGATCCGCCATAGAATCCACATATCTTGATGCCGGCTGAAGGTGCCGACTATCGCAGGGGTCGAGGTGCAGGCAAAGGATGTTCCTTGGTGCTGCCTCATTGAACGTTAACCATGGGATTTACAAACTTATATAAAAAATATAGACAATTACTAGTAAAATCGATTAGACATGGGGATTCAAATATATATATATATGATTTTTGATCATTTTTGTTGGCTTAGTCGGCTTGCGTCACTAACATGTCACAAAACCGGAGTCTTTATGGTATCTCGACTTCCTTCGTGGGGGTCAACGGACAAAGATAACAGGGAGTCACCACCCAACCCCCGATTGTGGACTCGCAGGATCAATGGAATGGATGTTCAATGATGTTCATATATGAATATTTTATGAATCCCTGAGAAAACACACGTTCGTTCGTGTCAAATAAGGTGAAATAAACTCCCAAGACATCGCCCCATCTCCAAACATGAATAATTATGGTGAGAACTAGCTTTTTCAGACTCCCTTGGACTGAATGATGGTGGTTTTCTAGATTCCTGGTTGGCAAATAGTTCATAAGTGCGGGAATTTTGACACAATATGACAGCAAGATAATATTTAGCATAGCTATGGAAAATCACCATTCTTCATAGGTAAATTATCTATAAATGGTCCACTGGCCTTAGTTATGTCAGTTTAATTACTGGAGGGTGTACGATTGTATATGTATGTATCTGCGCAATCGATATGATATAATATCGATATACGAGTAGTGTCCAAATCCCATGGGTTTATTGTGAATATTTGGAGTTCCACTAAGCCACAGAAAAGGGATCATACCAGCATTTTCACGGGGAAAATGGCCACAGAAAGGGTCTGAAAATAAGATACCCGGCCTGGTAAACATACAAAAAGCGAACTGGAAGCCATGGCCCATTGAAATAGATTGTTTACCTGTTTACCTATTCATAGCATGGTGATTTTCCATTGCTATGTTAGTTTACCAGAGGGTACCAGCAACCCTTCTGATTTATCATCTTCCTTATTATTTGATGCCAGCACTAGGGGCGCTAATCCACCATGTTCAGACACACCCATGACCCATGTGTGTAATTACAGATTTCCCGTCAAACTACGTGGAGCAGGCAACAAATCCATCTATGCTGAATACGATTCCGATGAATCATTAATCTTGCCTGGACACCAAAAATCCGCAGTCTTACAAAGTATAAGTTTTAAGAACATGATTCAGAATTTATCCACAGTACTGGATGAAAAGATTTTCCCATCGTTTCCGGTGCACAAATGTCGGACATTGATGAGGATTGGCATGAAGTCTGTTGTCGCCGGTCTTCCGAGACGACCATGTCTTCCAAATGCTGCTGAAACAATGACTTATGTGTCAGAATACATCTCCAAACTCAAAGGGGTTGCGTTGGATCAACCCATTTTCTGCAGGAATGTTCGGCCTTCAATTTCGTTTGATAGAATTCATGAACCTACTGCTGCGGAAAGGCAAAATATCTATGCCTTAATGAAGAAGAAGAAGAAGAGAAAGATCAATGCTCACTGCGAAGACGATAATTACAGTATCTGGTTGGTGCTTTGGAACCTTTTTGTAATTTCCATTTCATATGGGATGTCATCCTTCCCATTGACGAAGTCCATCATTTTTCAAGATGGTTTTATTGCACCACCAACCAGTATCTATTATTCTTAACCATCATTAACCATCATTAACCATCATTAACTAGTACTAACCATTATTAACCATGGAAATCCCCCTATAAAATCCCATTAATTGCCAGTACCCGCAACCACCGGACCATGGGATGTTTGACTGTCCTTGTCGTTGACATGCAGGGGATGGTCATCAATCCATGTTCCACTGGGGATTGATGTACCCATTATCTTTGGATTCCCGTGGAATGGGGGATGGATGACCATAATCCCATTAATCATAGTGAGTTTGTTATATCCCAATATATTCCCATTATATATATATATATATATATTATATATACTGTGTATATATATATATACTGTGTATATATATATATATGTACCCCATTATATATGCCCATTACATATCCCATTATTCCATGTTGACCATGGCACATGTGAGCGTTTCCAACAGCTTGGCTTCAGCATCTTCCGTTCGTCCTGGTTGCCAGGTGAGGCCGACGAAAGGTGGCCCAGTACAGGCAAAGGATCAAGGGGAGAGCTGTGTCTAATCTATGAAATTTTAACAAAAAAGTGTATGATTTTTATATAACTAGTATATGACTATCAAGGGAATGATGGCGATTTTCCATTTATGGAATACCCCATATACCCTTTGGTAAACATACAAAAAACTATGGAAAATCACATTTTTTAATGGGAAAATCCACTATTTCTATGGTCATGTTCAATAGCTAATTGTTAAATTACCAGGCCGGGTATTTCATGATAATAAACTGGAAAACTAGCAAACTGGAAAACCACCATTAAAAATGATAGATGACTCATCATAATCATCCATAAATGGTCCATGTTCCAAAGCTACTGTGGATGGGCCAGTGATTTTTTTTTGCACCACCAACTGGTGCAGGATTTCGCTGGCCCATCCACAGTATTTCATGGGATATATCACCAACAATATGACGTGGGGTGTTGGCTAAAACTTGAGGATTCGCCTTGAATGGCACTTGTTCATGGGAACGGAACTATCGCTGGACTCTGCGATCGGCCATGTTTTCCAGGAAACCATTGGTGGATTTGTTGCTGGGTTTCAGAAAGAAGGTATGATTTACCCTCTGGTGAACTAACATAACTATGGAAAATCACCATTTTCAATGGGTAAATCCACTATAAATGGTAAATTTCAATAGCTATGTTAAATTACCAGAGGGTACCATCCCCAAAGCCCCCTCAAGGGTCAGACCATGGTTAGCAGATGTTGGTTCAGTGCCTGCCACACCACTGCCCCATGCCCGTTTTACGCGACGCGGCGCCAGACCACGATAGTCCAAAGCTACTAAGAGGCGGCGCAGGCGAACTCCCAGATTGCCATGTTACAATGCCCCATTCGTGGTTGATGGCGACGTCTATGCCTAGGAAAATGTGATTTTATCCCCCCCAAAAAAGGAATACTATGCTGGGGATCATGGAAAGTTATCATCCCCCCAAAATCAGATATGCCCAAAAAACGGTCCCATATTTTTTATAAATCCATATTATACCACGGTTTCTTAGGGGTCCTTAATATTAGGGGAAAGGGATTACTGCAACATGGGAACGCCCTTGGTGATGGGGATGTCAGGTGCGGTGATCTGTGGACTTCCCCTGGATTCCCAGGAAATGGTGGTTTGGGCTACAAGAACAGGGCTGAATTATGGTAATTACCTGGATTGCTGGGGTGCATTTCAGATCATCAAATATATAAATATATATAATAATATATAATAGTAAAAGGGATTCATCAATTTTGGTGATGTGATAAATAACCCCCTATATTATCAGTGTCTGAAAATGTGTTTTTTTATTTTCCCAATGATCAATCCACCATTTGGGGAGTCCACTAGGATTTTTTTTGGGAACCTGTTAAGCAAATCCAAGATTGCATGGTGATGATTTTCCAACCTGCGTCATAATAATATATGGGTTTGTCCGAAATTTGGGGTAGGCCCCAGTTTCTGGCAATTGAAGAATAGCGAAAATGATCGAAAATGCTGGTTTTGACAAACTCATATATTGATATACACCCACAAAACTTTACACCAAGACTGAGCCTGGAACATGTATGAACATAGATGAAAATGGGTTTCTGAGGTTTGACACTTGGAAATGGCGTTGGAGGTTGGGTTCAGAACTCAATTTCATGCTCTTTTTTGGATCGTGTAACTAGGGGCAGACATTCCCCCAAGGCAACCTGCGTGGCTGGTGTTCAAAAAGGAAATGCTGAAATGGTGCACATTTCTCCATATTCAGGAAGCTATAGGAAGCTGCTGATTGATTGGTTTTGAGTGTTCAGTTCTTGTTAACATCCAAGAACTGACCAACGCCTAGACAGTTTCATGTCCTACTTGGCATGATGGGGCATGACTCGGTATAGTATAGCCCCCAAGTTTTCCGCAAATCATGCTGAAGTGTTGACCATTGTGGAATATTGTTCACTCGCATGAATTTCAGAGATCGAAGCATTGGCCTCTCTTATTCCTTCTTCATCCTATACTTCCTGCAATGTCCCGGATGTGTAAACTCTTTGATTTGATTCATCTGGGGTGGTTACCCTCTGGTAAACTAACAGTTTGCGAACTGGAAAATCACCATCTTCAAAAAAGGTAAATCAACTATTTCTATGGGCCATGTTCAATAGCTAACTGTTAGTCATTACCAGAGGGTTGCTCTGGTGAGATCTGGTGAGTGCATCTGCTAAACTGCTGCCGCAGGTGAGTGTACTTCGCCTCAAGGGCGGGTCACAGCGTCTCACAATGTGCCGGGCTCCGGCGAGCTGGGCAAGTTGGCAACATCATATGTATCATATGAGATCATGGGATTACAATGTGTGACATATGTGACAGGAAAACAATACATTGTAATACATGTGTCTATGTTGTATATAAATATATGTATTGTTATATATATGTATATTACTATATATATATATGTATATTAATATATATGTATATTAATATATATATATTAATATATATATATATATGTATATTAATATATATATATTAGTCATAAGTTAAGTTATATCATTACCATTATGTATCTTTATGTAATATATGTATATGTTTTAACATTATCCATGTGATTATTATATTAATTATATATATATATATACTTTGGTGCATTTACCATTTACAGTCAGTGCCAGAATTATAGAACGGAGCCAGGAGGACAAAAGTACGGTAAAATACCGTACCTTTGTCCTCCTCCGGGTTCCGATTCGGAGCGGAGTCGGGAAATTTAATTATAGAACGGGGAGGAGGACAAAGGTACGGTATTTTACCGTACTTTTGTCCTCCTGGCTCCGTTCTATAATTTCTGGCACTGACATGATATTTACTGCATATTTGTACATATACAATCTAGAAAATGAAGATTTAATGAGGATTTAATGAGGATTTGATGAGAAAATGAAGATAAAATGCAGATAAAATGACGATTTGATGAGGAAACGAGGATAAAATGAGGATAAAATGAAGATAAAATGAGGATTTGATGAGGAAATGATAATAAAACGCGGATAAAATGAGGATAAAATGAGGATTTAATGGGGATTTGATGAGGAAATGAGGATAAAATGAAGATTTAATGAGGATTTAATCAGGATTTGATAAGGAAATGAAGATAAAATGATGATAAAATGAGGATTTGATGAGATAACGAGGATAAAATGAGGATAACATGAGGATAATGGGAAATGTGGGAAAAATGGGGGAAAACAGAATTATAGAACAACAGCGCTCCGACAAGAATTATAGAACGACGAAAAAAGTTAGGAGTAAATTCAGATACGTTTTTCTACCTTCCGAGGAAAAAAGAATTATAGAACAACAGGGTACGGTAAATAACCGTACCTTCGTACTCCTCAACTTCCGTTCTATAATTCTGTTTTCCCCCATTTTTCCCACATTTACCAGGTGATTTTCTTAGATTTCATGGTGATTTTATAAGATTTCATGGTGATTTTATGGGATTTCATGGTAATTTTATGGGATTTCACGGTGATTTTCTTAGATTTCATGGTGATTTTATAGGATTTCTGGGACCCCGGAAGAGGTTCTATAATTCTACAATTAATTTTTCCGTTCTATAATTAATTTTTCCGTTCGACGGAAAAATTAATTATAGAACGGGGCCCGGGAAACATTAATTATAGAACGAAAATGGGAAATGTGGGAAAAATGGGGGAAAACAGAATTATAGAACAGCAGCGCTCCGACAAGAACTACGAAAAAAGTTAGGAGTAAATTCAGATACGTTTTTTTTTCACACCTTCCGAGGAAAACAGAATTATAGAACAACAGGGTACGGTAAATAACCGTACCTTCGTACTCCTCAACTTCCGTTCTATAATTCCGGCACCTACAGTATAATTAATTTTTCCGTTCTATAATTAATTTTTCCGTTCTATAATTAATTTTTCCGTTCTATAATTATTTTTTCCGTTCGACGGAAAAATTAATTATAGAACGGGGCCCGGGGAAAATTAATTATAGAACGAAAATGGGAAATGTGAGAAAAATGGGGGAAAACAGAATTATAGAACAACAGCGCTCCGACAAGAATTATAGAACGACGAAAAAAATTAGGAGGAAGATCAGATACATTTTTTTGTCATACCTTCCGAGGAAAACAGAATTATAGAACAACAGGGTACGGTAAATAACCGTACCTTCGTCCTCCTCAACTTCCGTTCTATAATTCCGGCACTGACCATACCTACTGCTCACCATTGGTCGATACATGTGGTAGCTAAGGAAGGTTCTCCTCGCTTGTCAGGAGACAGTTGTCACCTTCAATCCAAGGAATACAACAACACAGGTTGGAAGTCATCATAAGTAATGATTGAACATAGACATAGGATACACATATAGTTATATGTGTATATATATATATATTATGTATGTATGTATATATATATATTGTATATATATATATATATTATGTATATATATATATTATGTTTATATATTTATTATGTGTATATATATAATATGTATATATATATATTATGTGTATATATATATATATACATTTGTATATATGTTGTATATATATATATAGTTATATATATATATGTATATATATATATGTATATACACAATAAGCCTGCAAATGGATAAGACTTACTTTGAAGATCTCAGATGCCGATTTTTGTAGGACTCGCTGAGTTCAAAAAGCCGGAGTCCAATTCCCCCCTTATCGTCAAAAGATGTCAAAAATGGGGAAGGTGAACATGTGTATGCAATGTTGATGAATTTCATGTAGGTCTGCCTGATTAGAAGTGTGTCATTTCTTGAGCGAAACGCGCCTAGTACGAGTCGTGAGCCGAAGCCGTGTATGCCCTCGGAGGCCCCAGATTTCTTCCGAAAGTTGTTATGCTGTCCGTTTTTCAGGGCCAACTGTCAGCTATTGGGGGATGACACAGGGTTTTGCAGCTACAGAGAACGACTGAGAATCTGTTCAAATTCTGTGCTCAGGCAAATTGAAACCAGACTGAACGAATGAACAACTGGGGATTGGGTCTTTGATCAGCTGTAAATTGTGGTTGCTTGCGCTTGGGCATACATCTATGGTCTTGTTCTAGGATGAAAAGTGCTGCTAGTGGCATTGACATTCCAATACTTGCGTAGTGGAATGCCTGAATCAAACATAGCAGAGGAAAGCCTGGAATCTGATAGGATATTCTACGCTCGCATACACGGATGCAACTGGCAATCCCCAAAGTTTCACAAGGAAACGATGCAGCCATTCGAAAAAGTGCCCTTTAGGTCATGTGCAAAAGGCCAGGTTTCTATTTCTGGGTTCAGACTTTGGTTTCCACACGTTTTCTCAGGGGTACAAGTGTTCTATTGAATTCTACTATTATCTCGATCAAATGAGCAAAAATCTACACAATCGCTCTTTTTCGGGAGAAAATTTTGTGGTTTGGGAGAGATCCTTAATTAACTGAACTATTTAGTGTTTGCCCATTGAGAATTAAATTACCACAATGACTGCTTGGTGCTTGCCCTTTCCCACTTTGAACATCATGCAAGAAGCTGACTCTACGCGAGACCCAGGTTTGCTCGAAAAGGGGGTAATTACCCTAAAAGATCTAAAAGTCTCATGGCTCATCATATTTTTTCTCATGGAATCGGAAATCGTCAATAAACTTGGCCATATTCTCTGGGAGGTCCTCCGTCCTCCCACTCACCGGGTAACCCACCTCTTGCCTACGGAAGCGTGATAGCCATGGCACTGGAACTTAGAAAACAAAACTAGGTCCTTTGGGTATAGGCGTTGCCTGGTGTCCTTCCAATGCCACCCTCCAAAAAGAACGGCAAAAACAGCACCACGGCAGACTGTTTTGCAAGACTACATGGAGTAATTCTATGAGACACATCTCAGGCATCTCGATCTTGGAACTGACAATCGTGTTGGATGGTGTGATGACTTAGCTGCCTTCATCGACAGTCGGATTAAAAGGATAAACGAGTTTCAGAATGATATTGATTGTAGATCGACACTGAATTTTGGTTCCCTAAATATTAATGTCATTTCAGATCCACGTGGTTTCCCAAAGATCCATGCCATCCATGCAACGAAGAGAAGCGTTTATGGGAACATTACTGTTTGCTGTTGCTGTTAAACTTCGAACAATTTTCCCGTAACTCATCCCTTTAATTATACCAAGAACAAAGAAGAGTTCTTTAAACAATAGGGATTTACCCTCAAAATGGAGCTTTAACAAGTTCAACCAGCCAAAATGGAGATTTGACATGATTTGCCCATCAAAAGAATGGATCTCACGGCAGATGTTTCGATTTTTTGTCGCTTCTCCGATCTGATGGCGAGTGGAGCTCCGGTAGCTGTGGTGCCCATGGCCCTGATGTGGTGACTTGGAGAAGCACCAATTTCCTGGTTGATTGGATATTGTAGGGAGTACTGTACTAGCCGGTTACTACCCACTAGATTGATCTGATTGTCTCCCAGTGGGAATTCCTCTGAACCAGGCCAAGCAGTATACTGGACAGAGGGTTTTGAACACTGGGGTTTGTAACCCGCAGACATGGGAATAAACAAACCGTGGAGACAAATAAATGGATGAAATGCATAAACATATTCCTGACCCTCACTCTCTGAATGTCCTGCCTATCAGCAAGATTATGAGGATCCAATACAAAACCGGGGGTTCCATTTTTTAGTTTTTTTTTTTGGGGGGGGTAGGGGTTGGTTGGACTTGCTTCATCAACTCAACAGGGCATGGATTGGATCCCCAAAGCTGCAACTCTGGAAAATGCTCCAACTTGTAGATGATTTACTATGATCTGGTTGGTGGTTTGGAACATTTCTCATTTTTCCATATATATTGGGAAGAATCATCCCAACTGACTAATATTTTTCAGAGGGATTGAAACCACCAACCAGTGATTTATTATATAATGATTATATGATTATTTAAGTTTAAATACTGATATTAATGGTGATATTAAAATTTGCTGATGTTGAGATACGGTCGCCAGGTCGCGGTAAGAGTCACCATCAGAGGGTACTTCTCCGATGTTGATGAAGCAAGAAGCTCAGGTTAGATGGAGAAGTACTACCACTATGTGGAGATGCTTGGCGATTTTGAGTAACGTGACACATGGATACACATGGAGCTTTCCCAAAGTCATGGTGGTTACCTGAAATAAACCATCCATAGCTCCTTGGGGTAGCCCCATTTATGGAAACCACCACATGTGCGAATGGCGAAATCACAGCATAAATGGGACAGATTTGGGCCTTGGGGCTGATTTGAAAGTGAAGAAAGCGACTGAGAAATCATAACTAAACAACGAAAATGAGACTCCCAACGTGCAGCTATGACTTTTTTTTGGATGAGAAAGTTCACTGAAATTTGACCGCAGATGGACTGGGCTACCTCCAGTGGTGAGCTCATAGAAACCTATCTACTTAAACCATGTTAAACCTTAGCGAGGTCATTACTGACTGGAAAATTGGTGCTTGATGAATGTTGAAAAGGCACAGATCTGAGCCGTACTTGTATCGGTTTGATTTTGTTTACATGGCTTTTAGATGATGAATTGATATAATTACTGTAAGTGATGCATGCTGCCTTAGCCGTTGGATGATGATACCCTTCAACACCCCAAGATCCCTGTCTCCATATGTTACTTGGGGAAATGCCATTTTTGGATATTTTTGGTTGGAATCATCAGTATCACCACCACCTTTTGTGACCTTTTGAATAGTAGATTCGGATCATCGAGTCTCAGAGATGAACGCCCACAATGTTCGGATCACAGAAGAGTTACATTAGTTTGCTTCGTTGATGGTCCTCATGGTCGATCCACCCCAATTTTGGACTGGCCGAATGACCCAGGAAAGACCAAAAAAAACGCTAGATCTCCACTTATTCCTGGTCGAATGGCCATTTGTGGACTCCATTTTTCTTTATCATATATCATCATATTCCATCATGTTCCCCATTTATTATACTGTAGTTAGTTAGAAAGAACTGTTCATCATCATGTGACTCTATTTTGTAAAAGATACATGTTGATACATGTTCTGGTAATCATCAGTATCATCATTGCTATCAGTATCATCAGTATCATCAGTACATCGGTATCATCACTATCATCACTATCATCATTGTCATCCTCATCATCATCATCCTCCTCATCCTCCTCATCATCCTCATCATCATCATCATCATCATCCTCCTCATCCTCCTCATCCTCCTCATCCTCATCCTCCTGTTCCTCCTCATCCTCCTCATCCTCATCATCCTTATCATCCTCATCATTCTCATCATCATCGTCATCATCGTCATCATTGTCCCCATCGTCGTCATCGTCGTCATCGTCATCATCGTCATCATCATCATCATCATCATCATCCCCCACCTTTTACCCAGCTACCCATGACCATTGAGGATCGGCACCAGCAACTTCCGCACATTGGTTGGCGCGCAACCGGCGGAGCAACATGGTCTCAGTGTGGAACCTATGCCCTTCTTCGTGCGCGACTTAAGGCCCCGGCCCCGGCACACCATCACATGGTGAATGGCCCAATGTGACCAGGTCATATGAAAATAAGCAGCCCGAATTAATCAACACGCACATTCCATGTTTTTGGGCCATACTACTTTGGTCCCTCCCTATTAATCAACATGGGTGGTCACCCCTCTTAAACCCTTCTGGAAAATCCTTTTTGTTGGATTCAAAAACGAATGGAAAACCAATGGAAAACCAATGGATTCGCAGCAGTTCTCATACTAAATCTCATGAATCCCATTTTTGTTTTCTTGCTGCCTATTTTTTGGGGGATGGATACCTTCTCATGGATTTAGACCTTCTGGAGGGGAGGTTTTTTTCATAGGAACTTGGTATTACCAAGGTTGGTACATGATGGTTGGTAGGACTACCGGCCTAAAAATGATTTTTCAGGTTTATGTTTATGTACTACGTAAGAGATTTTGCCATGAGATGTACCCTGCGGAAAAAATGCACGTAAAAGTGAGGATCTATAACTGATGCTCCCATTCTTCAAGGGAATCGACCATTGCCATGATTGATTTGCCAGCCACAGGGAGCGCTATGCTTCCAGCCATCCCCATAGCAAGCTGGTTAACGCTGCTGTGCTGCCTAAAGCCTCCACAGCTCATGTGGTGAGCGCCTTCTACGTTCACCCGGACACTGGGGGGGAGACATCAATGAGGGCCAAAGATGGGGGGAGACCATGGGCCACAGAAAACATTGTGGTTTTTGGATGTTTTTGGTAGTACCTAAATGACCATCCAATTTTAGGAGCATCCCCTGATCATATGAAATTCTTTCGATGGGCTCCAAAAATCATAAACCGATCCAGTGAAGGGCCTCCAGGGTATCGGCTGAAGATTGCAGGTGATTGATGAAAAGACAGGGATCAGCCATATAATCTTGGTTCTCAATCCGATTACATCATCATTATTTATCCTTTCATGTTGATGGACATAACCCATCAGATTGATCAGAAATTGGTTGACATCTTTGCATTGCTGGCAATTTGAAAGGCTCCTTGCCTTGGAGTCCCGAGTGCTGAAACGACCACTGGTTTTCTAGTACCGTTTTGCATGAGATTCCGATCAGATACGGCCTCATTATCCCTGATTCCATTGTACAGAGAATGACAATCAAATTCGTTGATGTTCAAGTCTCCAAATTGCAAAATGTTCAACCCGAAAATCCAATGGTTTATGGTCATTTGCCATTACACGTGGGTGTCCTGGAATTCTGAGACAAACCTGCCATCATCACACCAAATGACCAGCTTTAAAAAAGGGACTATTCTAGAGCGGGAAGGCCGTCGTGGTTAGGGTACGCTGGACATGCTCTTATTATAGGTAGAGTAGTTGCATTTCACTGGTTTACTTGCCCAATATTTGTTGCTGATGTGTGTTTATCATATCCTCATTTGGACTGCCTGTAATTTCAACCCTCAGGTTTGCGCTGGATATCACCTCAACAATGTTCATTGCTGCAATCTCTACGTGTCAACTATGATATCGTTTCTAGTGTGTGTGTGTGTGCCCCCAATTCATGTTGGGTGATTTTGCCATTCTTCTAATCCCCAATTTTATCGGCTTGCTTTCACAGGTTTGCGGGCTATATCCCCTATCCAGCAGTACACCCATCCATCTTCCATGACGAATTAATTTGGGTATGGATCAATACCTATTAATAGCATGTTTAGGGGGATGAACATCCATTTACCAGCTATTTTTATGTTCACCAGGGGTACAAGGTTTTGACACACTGCCGTTTATTCTTATATCCCAAACGCTCCCGATACCTTTGGGACCCTCGTGGGGCAAGGGGCCCTGGGAGTCAACCTGGCGAGGGTCCGATGCATGCTGGGTGCACGGTTTTGGCCCAATTTCCCATGTTTTTTGCTGCAGCCTTTGGCTGCCTCATGCTGTGCGGAAACCCAGCAATCCCAAACATGATGGCGTTGTATTTAATGGGATAAAATAAAGAGCCTTGAGTACAATTTAGCATATACTGGTTACTTTCATACATATGTTTTCATATCTAGCGCAACATGCCTGGAACTAGTTCCCTCGGAGTTCCTCCTTGAGGGCTTCGATTTTCAAAGCCATTTTCACGGCCCACCTCTCCAGGGTCCGGATTGATACTGTACTTCGGTGGCACGACCTGGCCACTCGACCTATGTCTCCAATGAAGGATTCGGCGGACAACAACAAGCAGGTCTTAGGGTTCACCCTGTTCTGCAAAGTGTCCCAGCTCAAATGCCAAAGGTGATGCAGTTTTGGAAGTAGCAACCAGCAACGCCGCCCGGGCATGGTCCTTGCGGCCCCAGGCATCATCCCATGTCCGTGCAGCCAGATATAGGAATGTAGGTGTTTGATCACCCAACCGTGAAAATCAGCAGCTTGCCGTTCCGTCATCAGATGGTCAGCCTCGTCCATCACCATGATCATCTTTGAATAGGCATATAAACAGATGGCCATGATACGGTCAGCCTTCGTTGCGTCAGGCCTTTGCGCAAAGGTAGTTGCTCTGTTGGCGAGCCAGAAAGTCAGCACTTTGCTGGCCACTGCTTTGGACTGCAACGCAGGGAAACCTCAGCCACGCAGCTATGACAACCCCGGAAACAACAGCACTGGCTGGGACACTTCTAACAGCTGATGCAAAAAATATACCCGTTTGGGGGCGAAAACAATACAATATTCATAGACCGAAGGGCTAGTTTGAACCTTTCGATTCAACCTCGCAGGTGTAAAACGTGGCTGGCTGCAAGAGAGTTTGTGCATCTTCTTGAAGAGTAAAAAGTCCCTATGTGCCCGACGAAGTGCTGGAGCAAGGCGGTCAACATAGAGGCCAGGCAATCCCATCACCTGCCCAAAGTAGCCAGCCTCGCACATGTAGATCAGAGCCGCGCCTCAGCCACACAAAACAGAACACCACAAATACGGCACTGCTTTCAGATGCAAATGTTACTTGTCACAACACAAGTTACCAAAGAAAACGTGGCAATGAAACCATGCAAGCTGGGGAACCATTTGTTGTTTTTCCCATGCCGAGATATTGGCTGTGGGCAACATCGTGCATCACACGCTCCAAGCACATTCCTGGAAGCCCCAGAAGTGGAGAGAAAGCTTGCAGTTGTTCCGAAGAGTAGCTGCGTACTGTGTGTGCATCCGGGTCATTGCTCATGTTCGGAAGGGTCAGCTGTGTGTTTGGGTGATTTTTCACACACTCGCACCTCGAACAAAAGCTGTTGGCCCGATAATTATGCAAGCCTCCCATGCGGGAATTCAGCCATTTTAGGTCGCCTTGGCAAAAAGTGAATGCGATCAAATATCCTGAGCTGGTCCATGGCCAAGTCAGAGATGGATCAGTCAGGCGGCGCCACCGTTCAATCATCTCCTTTTCAAGATCTGCAAAAGTGAACTCGCTTTCGCAATGCTCTGACCATACAGCAATTGGGAAATATCTCAAGAGAGGATTGTTCTGAGTGGAGAATTCTGCTGTCCAGGCAGTCACGCTGACTACCCCGCATTCGCTGTTCTTGTAACACTGGATTTCGTCTCCATAGGTTCCCACACTTGCCACCTTTTGCTTCCACTCCCAGTTGTAAGCGGGGCTTGACTGAAACCACGGGCAATGCTTCTCAATGTGCTTCCAAAACTGAAGCGTCTCATCTTCAGTCATCTTCCCGAAGAGACAATATCGAAATACATCCTCACCAGCTTGCCAGAGGGCCTGGAGCAAAGTGTCCGGAAACAGCACTGGCAACGGCTGCCATTCAATTTCCAGCGTGGCAGGGTTGTACATGCGGACCATGATGATCTCCGGAGTTGCAGCAAGCGACATTGACACGTTTTGCAAGAGCCTATGCAAGTCTCGTTCGGCATTTTGAAGATGTCGCCCACCTGTGGCGACACCAGAGATTTTATTCACCAGATCGTTCTGCGGCGTGTCACCACCATGCCGTCTCAGCCAGCTCAATGCTGAAGAAGCCGTCCTCTGCACCTGGGTTGCTTGCAAAAATTCCAGGCATGTTGTGTTATATATATATATATTGATATTGAATAAAGTATCTAATCTATAATCAATAGATAGATAGATATACAATATACAGATAGATATATAGATATAAAATATATAGTAAATAAAACATAGCCAAAATTATGTGTATACATACATTTATATTTAGAATTATTATTATAGCCTCTTCCCCCTACTAATCCCAAACTTCTTAGGGGCTACGATGCTGCACAAATTATAATTTCGTGTTTTGCGGCCATCCACGATTGAAATTTTAAGATGTATATGTGTTTTTTTGGGGTGACTAGAGCCACCACTAGCCTAAAGTTTTCTCACGGAGTGAGTGCCAAATATAAACCTAGTGCACCGAGGTAAAATAATAATGGTGAAATAAAAACCTAGAATTTGGCCCCGAGGGACACGGGACGCACTGGATGTCCCGGATGCAAACTCATCCACCAAAAGTTCACCCAAGTCAGTAGGGCGTAATGGTTGCTTCCGAGGCTCCAGATTTTCCTCAAGATGGGGAATAATGAAACCAGTGACAGTTAGATAGGGTGTTTAGCTACAAAACCCCAAAAGCTTAGCATCGTCATCAGCATCGTCATTGCCCTCTCCATCAACATCATCAACATCATCATCATCATCATCAAAGTCACCAATCATCATCATGATCATCATCATCTTCACCATCACCATCACCGCCATCATCATCACCATCACCAGCACCAGCACCATCATCATCATCATCACCATCATCATCATCACCATCATCATCATCATCATCACCATCATCATCATCATCATCATCACGGGGACGTGGTAACTCACACGCACTCCCAGGGCTACCACCCCCTGGGGACGTGGAGATACGCACGCACCCCCTTCATCATCACCATCATCGCCATCATCATCATCATCATCATCATCATCATCATCACCATCATCACCATCATCACCATCATTATCATCAATCATCAATCATCATCACCACCATCATCAGCATCATCATCACTATCATCTTTAACAACATCAACACCATCATCATCATAACCATCATCATCATCACCATCATCACCATCAGCATCATCATTACAATCGTCAGAATCACCATCAACATCACTATGGCATTCAGCAGCAACATCACCATCGCTACCATCATCCGCACGTATTGAACAATCATTCTCATCTTTTCAATGGGTCAAATGAAACATCCTTGAAATGGTTTTTGGATACCTAGACACCCTGTCACAACTGTGTTGTGGGAACCCACATAAGATTTAGAATTGGTATAATGGTTGTATGAAGGGCTGATCCAATAAACAGTTTTTTGTTATGCACGATATAGCAATAGGGGCCACCTGGAAGACTTACGGAACAAAAGACTGGCCACCGGGCATATGAACATAAAACATGTATATTTAAATGAGACATATATATATATATATACATACATACTAATTTTTCAATATATATATATATAGACCGATAAATATGTTTATCTATATATATATATATATGTATAGAGGGTGGACCTTAGCATAAGTAACCCATTGTTTGCCCAATTAGCACCAAGCTACCACTGCCTTGGCCGCTGCGGGTGGCACATACGGATGCAACTCAACCCGAGGCCGCTTGGATGGCTGTGCTGAGTTGGACTGGCCTGTCTCCTGACAAGAAGGACAGCAACACCGGTTGGTTTCTTGCGGGGCATTGCCAGTTTGTTCCAAAAAACTTTTTGATTTGGAAACATCTAGATGATTCTCCAACCAACACCACTTCACAAACCACTCCTCATTGGATCTTTTGGGTTGTCGCTGCACAACTCTTTCTTGACGCAAGTGTCCTGGCCACGCGCAATTCAAAAAATCATCTATTGTGGAATGCGGGATCCGGGATGAGGGTTGGCACAGTAACTACAGGGGCATTTGGGGATCTTCAGTATACAGGATTTATCTCTCGAGATGTTTTTTTGTACAATTCCTATTTAGTGGAACCCACAGTATAGTGTCGGGCCAAATGCACTTTGTTCAACCGGGTGGGCATCAGCTCTATCCCTTTTCAAGCTCTTCGAAAGTGGTGATTTGTCCCCGGCAGCACGTACGTAATCGCACGTCACATGTTCACACCATACAGAACATCGTGTGAGCTGTTGCCGCTGCACATGCAGGAAATTAAAAAAAATGCCAACCAAAATGATGTGTTTGTGTTATGGCAAGTGTTTGACATTGAGTGCAACAGCATCACTCTAAGATGTCCTTTTTTTGTAATTGCGGACATTGCGGTCCATACCTTTTTTGGTAGCAGGACCCATGGGAATGATCTAGATACCCCTTTGATCTGTCCCCATGTCTCAAAATTCAAGACACACCGGACGCAGGCTCAATCCATGTCAGGAGAATCATCGTCATCTCTCACCTTCACCGGTGCGGGCCCCAATTACGTGAAATGGATCTGACCCATGGCAGGCAAAGGGCTAGGTCATGTACATTTGGGCTGAGACTTTTGAATCCGTAACAACAACATTGGTTGCAACCCTTGAATTGGACCAAGATCTTGCCTTCTGGGACTTTCGTCCACCCTTCGGTTTGCAAAGAGATTCAGCCATAGATGCAAGTTCAACATAGTGCTGACGCACCCCCATGGCATCATTCAAGCATTGGGACAAACCCGGAAAATGTTCTGGTCGTGACTCCTGGCAGGGCGCTAGGGTGTGGTGCACGGTTAACGGATGGGACCCGACAGGATCACACCAAAATCCCCCAACCATGGACATTCTGAAAGACCTGTGATTCGTATGAAACTATGAAGAGGGATGACAGATGATGTGTCCTCGGTTGAAACATCGCAAATGCCTTTCAGCTGGAAATAGCACTTCTCCAGGTCAATGGCACACTGGATCAGGGAATTGCCTTACCCAGCAAGTTGACCACACCAATGCAACATTGAATGGTTTTGAACATATAGTATCCCGGAGAATCCATCTTTGAATTGGAAATTGACATGAATGCTTTGAATTTGGAAATCCATCTTTGAATTTGGAAATATATCATAATCAAATATATCATGAATGCTGAGCTACGAAGACCTTCCTGATGCTTCATGTTGACAATCTTGATGGGTAGAACCTTTGCATTTTGCAAATCCTTGAGTATCTGTGTGACCATCCAACCGGCTGCTCCCAGGGGATCGTCCTCCAGATCAGGCATGGTCCTGGGCCGGGCTATCGACGAACAGTATTCCCCGGCCAAACAAATTCTTTAAGGGGATGTTTGCAGCAACAAGGGATAAACTTCTGTGGGAGTTGTGGTGATTCCCGTAATGCCCATGTTTAAAAACCAAAATTTGGTTCATTCCCATGTGGGTTTAAGAAGCCCCATTCTGATTCATTCCCATGTTTACGAAAGGTCATTTTGATTTGGCAAACCCACCCTGATGAACCATCAACCCACAAAGACAACTTGATGGGTGTAAATATGGATGAAGACAAGTGTCTTCTTTGTCTTGGAACCAGTACGCGGTTGACCATTGTCCCCGCGACCTCGCCCTCTTCCCTTACCACGGCCCTTACCTTTGCCCCCATCGACACTTGGAGGTGGCGCAACCGGCGCAGCAGCTGCGCTTGCTTGGCGACACAAGTTGCCGCTTGGCTCGGCAAAAGCCTTCGTGTGATCCAATCCTTTCATCAGCTTCTGGGCAGCCTCCAAATGGAAGGGGATCAATTAGGGGAACCATTGAGTGGGCAAACATTGAAACAGATTTAAACCATCATTAATTGCTAAGACAATGTCTCACCGTACCTCACATCCATGGGTGAGCTCGGCTTTGCTTCCATACTTAGTCTCATCAGCCACTTCCTCCTCGTCCTTGCGTCCTAATTCTGTGACTACCTGGGGACCAATGGGTGGAAAGTCTGATGCATATGTCTAGGACAGCCATGCCTTCAATGATTTCAATCTTCCCTTTTCCAATATATTCTTTCCATATGGGACTTTATATAAGAATTATACCGAAGCTTTGCAGGTGTGTCGAATATTGGGTTGAAACTGTATCTAAGGGCTAGGCATAAAAAGTTTCCAGGTCGGGGTCATCAGGGTGACCTTGGACCATTCCCTCTTGTCTCTTCTTGGCGATCACACGATCAGCTGCATCATGGTCTCCACCATGCAGCGCAATGATTTGGGCACGAGTACGCCATCCTCAAAATGACAACAAGACCCCCATCATACAAGATCAACCTGCGTAGTGTTGATTGCAAAATTAAACGCCCCGGACCAGAAAACCCCATACGCCATGGCCGAGGCTGAGCAAGATTCGTCTCTTCTTGGTGTCGACGGTGCGATCTGTGTGGGTCTTGGAAGATTCAACATGCAGCCTTGGTGAACTTGGTTACAAAAAAAGGAACACCCACACACCAATATCAACACATTATTTGGGGACGAATTCTGACCATATGTATTTAAAGATAGCGGTCAAGTCTCAAACTCCAGTCCTTTCCAGCTTCCAGCCACTTCGCAAACAAAGCCGTCTTAGCGGCCTGCTGTGGTCAGTGAATGTGCTAACAGTTTTCAATGGTGTTCTTACATGCACAAAAGTATTGGATGTGTCACCTACGTATGTGCAGATGTGGTGAATGTAAGTGTAATATATATATATATATATTATACATGTGTGCGTGTGTTTTATTTCTGCACATGTATGCACATCCAACATATATATATATACATCCACATGTATGTACATATATTTATATATATACACATACACGTGCATACAATTATAAATACAAGAACATACATATCATTTATGTATGTAAATTATATATATATGTATAAAAACGACATGCATATCTGTCTAGCATCCAGTAGCTGGCCTTGTTATTCTTTTCCACGGCTTCGTTCCAAAGATTCACAAACTCCTTTGGGATGCTGTTTGCCTCTGGATCCTTCAGTCGCCTGCGCAGAAGTGTGGAACATACTTTTTTGATCTGCGTAGGGTGTGCAGTGCGCAATCATTTGTTTTTTGTTTTGCTGCTTTGGGCCTCTTGAAAACACCTTGCAAAGCTTGGCGCTCGTTGTAGTCCATGGGGTGGATGGCCTACGCAACCGTACATAGCACATGCACGCAACACAAACAGTGACGATACCCTACCTGTGAAGTGTCCGCCACATTTACGTTGACTGATGCCATAGGAGGTTGTGCAGGGGCTGGTTTGGCAGGCGGGGATGCTGTTGCTGGTGCTTTCGCGGCGGGAGCTTCTGGTGCCCAGGTGATGTGCCTCTCCAGATGCTTCTGGGGTGTGGCCACAGTGGCTGGGGTAAGCTTCTTTGACGCTGCTTTGAGATCTTCTCGCTCTACCCATAGACAGAAATCCAACAATTCATGGTACGGATCATTTGTCCCCCACTGAGACTCAACTTCCTCTATGGATTCAAACCCGAGGTCTTTCTGCAGGAACTTCATGTAGTCCTGGAACTGCGGTTGCGCCATGGCCTCACACAGTGAGTCGTCGAGCTCCTCCTCGGTGAGCTTGCTAAGTTTTTCTTCGGTGTAGTCACTGATTTCTTTCATCTTAGAATCGTGTTCGCTGGCATCAAGTGGGGCTGCTCTGCGCAGAATGGGCGGTGGCGGTGCTGTAGCTGGTGATGGGAGTGTTGATGGAAGGCTACTTTCTGGTGCAGTTGGCGGGTGTTTGGGTGGTGGAGGTGCTGGTGTGACATAGGGATTCATGGAATCTGCTGGCGATGTTGGTGACGCTGGCTTGGTGACCATTGTCTTTGCTGCAGTGCTATGCTTGGCAATCGCAGGCTTGATGCTAGAGGTTGTCTTGGCTGGGGGGCTGGTCAGTGCTGCGCCAACTGCTTTGGGCATAGGAAGTGGTGCTCCTGGTGCTTCATGTTTTGTTTGCATTACTTTGGCTGGGGGAGGCAGTGGGGGGCTCACAGGTTTGGGCACGCTTGCAGCGGCTTTGGGTGCTGGTTCATCCAATGGGGTGCTTGGATGCACAAGCGGTGTCAACTCAGGAACTCTACGGGTTGAAGGGTCGGGCGGCACCCACTCAGTCTTCCAAGACCCAACCTTGCACGTTGGACGGGGGGAAGCTCCTACAGGAAACAATTCCCTTTTCACTGCTCCATTTGTTTTGCTACCTGCAACTGGGCTAGGATGTGGGCACTTTGCCTTTTTGCTTGGACGGGGGGCAGGGCTTGGCGCTGGTTCTGGAGATGGGTTCCAAGGAAGTGTGTCTGCAGTGGACGCCCGTGAGAACTCAGCAGGAGAAATGGACCTTAACATGCACGTACACAAACACGCACGCGTGCAGACATGTGTCCGTTCAACACTGTACATAATGCATTTGCATTGCGCAAAATATGTGTTCATATTCTCAATTCGACCCCAGTCACTCCTGTTAGCTGCTGGGATTTGCACAAAAATATTGCGAATTAATTCAAACCAAAGTGGGGAAGACGGCAAAATAAAACTGAAGGTGCTTCATGTATAACTACCATGTTGTGGGTTGCTTGTTAACCTGAGCACTCCACTCATTCAAAGAAAGTTGGGATTCATGCTCCCGAGAAAGCCCCATGCCCCGAGGCCAATCCACTGGAGAAGGCTCTGACATCTCCTTTTGCAGGACTGGAGAGACAAAGTGGTGGTAAATTGAAAGGGTCTTGAAGGGGAATATAATATATATATATATTCATTGTGTATATAGGGCTGTTGTGTGTTTTTACGCACATATGGGGATACCATATTATTCTTATCATAGGTGGAAATGAAACGAAAGATTCCTGTCCTTGCTGTCTGATCTAGCAGGGCCGGCCGCAGACGGAGGTGTTGGCGACAAAATGTCACTCTTTGAAGGGGTCCCCATTGGCAGTTCCTGTGCAGAAGTGACAGGGGAATACCCTAAACCAAGTACCAATGGGCGACGTAGTGGATTACTTGCCTTTGTGGATACCAACATGTATGAACCATTAACAACCACACCTTGGGTACTGCTCCATTCCAACGATCAAAAAAGTGTCGTACTTCACCAGCAGAAGGTCTGTGAAACGGAGGGAGCTTGGGGTCTTCCGGCTTCTTTGCAGCCTTTGTTACTAAATGGATCTAAACGGTGTCTCATGAAGGTACAAATGTATTCACATCACAGCATGCCAACTTAAGCGCAGGTGATTCACTTTCTGCAGCCAAGAGGCCATAGCACAAAGGCCAACCACCAGCCAAGTCCCGGTGATCTTTTCCCCAGATTGCTGCAGGATGAAGAGAGGAACAAAATGAAAACAACATTTCCCGATGCAGGAATGTACAACCATGATTTCCCGATGCCTTAAAAACATTTCCCGATGCAGCAATGTTCAACCATGATTTCCCGATGCCTTCCCGATGCCTTTCCGACGTCAGATCGTGTTGGATCCTCAAACTCCCTTTGTTTGAGGGTCCGACGTGAACCCTCCCGATGCCTTCCCGATGCCATCCGATGCCCAATTCTGACATAAACAGTTCCGCCCGATGCAATCCGATGACACCCGATGATGTCAGGGCCAGTCTCCCGATGGCAGGCCCAAAACAGATATAAACTATATATATATATAAACTGTCGCACCATTATGTTTATTTTTGGCTGTTATTGATGGTTGAAACATTGCATTTTTTTTTCTGCACGTGGCACCATGTGAGCGCAGCTTTCACCAGGTGAATTTTCACAAGGACCCCCACACTAGAGTTTCATAAGCACACCAACGGACCTCTATATCCTCTATTGGTTTGCTCTCACGCAGCCGGAATGCGATACATACGTTAGCAGTGCCATGTGTGTGCGGGGGACCCTTGTGGATTCAAATTAGCATTGGACAAAAGGACTATGGTATCGCATAGCCTCAAAAGCCATGGAAATTGAATTTTAATGTACAGCTTCACCACTATAGCTGCATTTGATTTTTTGGACTCCATATCATATGGATTCCTTCCGCTTGGCCACCCGGTTGTTGAGCATGTCTAGGAGACATGCTTCCACTTCATCCAACCTGCGCGCGAAGGAAAGATGGAAGGCTTGGAAGTGGACGGACCATTGGTGGATATATCACTTTTATCTCAAAACCTATTTTCCGGTTGGCTCCACCTGCTAAAAAGGGCTAGCGCAAAGGAAAACTGCCAAAAAGGAACCCCACCCCCCGGAAGGGGGGGGGGATGGGGGGTTCCTTTTTGCAAGTTTTTGTTTTTTTTTGGGGAATGGCAAACCGGCATGTAGTTTGGTTTGTTTTTTGGGGGGCGACCTTTTCTCTGGTTTTAGGTAACTTTTTGTAAGCAAAAAAGGCCTCGTTTGAAACCCAGTCTGAATCCGAAGCCATTACGACAGGAAAAATACAACTTTTACACATCATGGATTTGTTTCTGGTCATTGAAGGCCATCCCATGTGAACCATGATACCGGCACCTTACCTTGCATCGTTCCAATCATCAGGGGTCCCATCAACTAATGGTTCACCACCAGGAGGTGTAGCATAGCGGCTGAAGGTTGAACATACCTTGGTACAGCAGGTGGGTACCTCAGGGACTTGTTGTTCCAGTTGGATGTTCATCGATGTTCATATTAAATGCCACCCAAAAGACAACCAAAAAACATGTCCATAGTATGTGGCCTTAAAATACATTTCCAAACAGTGTCAGCAGGGTTGCCTCTTTTCCACCCTTAAACAAGGACACCACAAGAAGGGCATTAGTGGTTTATGCGACGCCCGCCATATTGTATTAATATATACCCATGCAGTCTTTGAACCGATTCATTGCAGCTGAAGGACCGCCCTCCCAAACTCCGGGGGGTATACTTCAGTCTCACATAACTTTCCCGGAACCCCCTGAAAGCATAGCTTCCCACTTGCCGACCGGTACTGTCGAGTGCTCCCACTCTTCCCGAACTTCTTCTTGTTGAGCTTCCTGGCTATGGATTAGTGATTTCTATTGATCTGACATTTGCACATCGTATAGTCCAAGCTCAGGGATGACAACTATGTTCTGTTTTTTAATATAATTGGAGAACAATAAAATGCATGCAGTCCTATAAAGACGTTGAACTTCCTTTGACGAACTCACCAGTTTAACAGGCTTCCAGGTCTTGGCACCATACATTCCAAGCCAGGTCATTTGTTCCGTGTGGCCGCGCTTCTTGAGGAACTTGCGAAGCCGTGGGTGGAAGTAGATCTGGCGGAATGGGTTCAACCATATATTCGTTCAAACAGTCCATTTCAATTTGTGATCCAATCCAGTCTCTGAATTTTATGGTTTTTTCTTGGCTCTTGCAACTATGGAAAACTGTGGTATGTAAGGCTGGGGCAAGAGATTGCAGAGGATTTTCAAGCATGAAATTTGCTCCACGGTGGAGGGCCACCATACATAACAAAGTCACCTTGCAGTGGGAAAGGAACAATTGAGCCACCCAGCTACTTTGGGGCAAAGTCCATGTACATCATATATGGGACTATCTCAAACTTTGTGGTGAGCGAGCATGATTCTTCCCATATAAACTATACACAAACATACATATATATATTATATATATAGATATAGAATTGTATAGGAAACCTAGTTTATACCAATTATATATAGTTATATCATACATCCCCAACGACATCACCGCGACTGACTCAAAAAGCCCAAGTCTCACGACTCACCATTAGATTGGCTTCCCGCACAGAGCGGTACAACCTGCCATGTGGCTGGAAGGAGCACATGTAAGCATCAAGCAAACATGTAGTTTGATGTGGTACTTTGCCTGCTGTATTGGAAACCTGACCTTGAAAACTGTTTCCCAAACATGCAGCTTCCTACAGTGGGAAACGCCTAGTTTGTTCAACATGTAAACGGGGTCCCGGCCTGCATCCTAATGGTCTTTGTTTCGTTCGTTTGGACGTTCCACCTAGGAGAGGCCGACAAATCATGGTCTTGAGACCTAAATAGATCTCAACACTTCAACCATTTTTTTTTTAACAAGAACGACCAACATGCTGACCACATGTCCCATCTCTATGCAGAGGTTTGTTACAGATACTCACTTGGATGGAGGAAAGGGATTTGACCATGCTACTTGTTTTGGTGCTCTGTGTGCCATCCCTGTTTTACATGTGTGCAGCTTAGAAACGGTTGACTATGCTCCAGCTCGAGCATTTAATCCCAGCAGAAAGCAGTCCTCCCAGCTTCAAATTCATCACTGCCCACAGCGAGCGCAGGAAACCAACGGGAGATAGCAGGTCCTCAGTCAGGTCTGTGAAAGCACCCGGGGGGATGATTGTGTGGAATCAAAAAACTATATATATATATTATATATATATTATACATAATATATATATATATATCATTAAGTAAATATATAAAATAAATAAATAAATAAATATATATATATATATATATCATTACTTCCTATGAAAGGGGTGCACGCTTCAAAGGAAATCTTTGGTATACTTCAGGATTCTTTCAGATTTTTTTTGTATTTTTCCTATCCGTTGGGACCCCAAAACAAAGCACACACACATATAGAATATATATATATACATGTTATATATATGCTTACTCAGTGGGTGTCCTTGCGGAAACAAATTAAACTTTTTCCTGGGTTGGGTTTGCGCGCGTTTCTGGGGTATAAAATAGAGCCCCCTCGGGGGCACGAACCCAATCAAAGAAAACAGTTTAAAATTTGCACACTTGCTGAGTCAGTATATATATATATATATTTAATATACATGAATATATATATATATATATCCATTATGTTGAACCAAGAAGCGTCTCGGACATCAAGAATGATATCCATCGCAGTTGCCTTAAGGGATTTATACCGGTATGCCTTTGCAATTGCCCGGCGCCCCGCGAAAAGATCAACGTTGTCAAACTGATCACCCGGCGGTAGGAAGGCCTGGGACCGAGAGTAAAACTTATCAATCTGATCAATCTGGGGAAATGTCGGTATATACTATAGAAACCGTCATGCCACCTGTATTTTTTGAGCTAAGTCCATGGCCTCTGCCATCAAGTTCATCAATATCATAAGCCGAATTGGAACATATCCAGGATGGTGAGGTCCATCACGGGGAGGCTTAGGCAAAAAAACAGGGCCACCACTCTTTCCAGAGCGGACACCATTCTTCCTTTTGAACCTCAGGAGATCTTAGGGCAGAAATTCTTATTCAGTGGTTGATCTCCGGGGCGGACTCAAGGGAAACAAGTTAGTTTAGAGTTTAGAGCTTAGGCATTGGCTGAGCAAGAGTATATCATAACAAGCGTCCAAAGGTGTTCAACATGTGTGGACCCAGTCTAAAACAACCCAAGGAACTGAAATTCATCAAGGCCTGTGTTCGGCCCCATCAGTCCTTAGATAGTTTGATATATATATCTATATGTTTAAATCCAGCCAGCGTGCAGGACAGTAAGAAAGCTACATTGCAGACTTTCCATCTTGAAAGGACAGCGGGCGCAGCCGAGGGTCAAATTGCCCAGAAACGGTGGCTAAGGGCGGGCTGAGGGTCAATGGCTATCACACTATATCACACTCAGTAAAAGACTGGCTAGCACTGATCACATCTTTTGTGGGTGGACTGCATCGGCAAAAGAAAACCAGCATGACAGTGATAGTGACATTATTTTTGTCCTCCCTTTGCATGTCTTAAATGGTCGGTGACACAGGATCCAACATTTTGCACCTGTGCACAAGTAAGATCAAACCCCAATTTGCCAATTTGCATCAATTTGCCAAATGAGCATCAAAGAGCTACAATTGGCAGCCGCACCCTCGTTCCAACATGTTGATGTTGGGAAGGAATCATAGGAGACGGGCACTCGCCAACACTTTGGATGTGTGGGTACAATGCCCCAACCAGGACCACGCAAAATAGTCAGATGATCAGATATCATGATATACATGAGAGAAATCTACAAAAATTATGCCACGGACTGCAAGCAAAAAATAACATCCTGGTTTGGGAATCAAAATGTCAAGCTCAAGCCGAATTTGTTTTGCAGACCCATTTTGGGTTATCAACGAGGATCAGGTTTGCCCTTAGAGACATTGTTCTTTTTATCCCTGGGCTCCCTGGGCTCCCTGGGAATCCCTGACAAACTTGGTGAAATCTTGTGGTGCACACGGAGTAACCACGAGGCATGCTTTCCCTTATTCTTACACTCAGCGACTGTGCACTTGGTTGCCTGTGCCCGACGGTAGGCTGTGCTGTAGACAGCATTGTATGTGCAATGGGCTGGGGCTTCCACTGCGTCATCCGGAATGCTGAACTCTGGCTGTTCCTGATTGCTGCTGGGAACGACAGGTGCCTCAGTGGTGGAAGTGACAGGTGCCTCAGTGCCAGGTTGCTTTGCCCTGCGTGCTCTCTTGGATGTGCTTGGGCGTGGTGCGGCCTCTGACATGGAGGCCTCTGCCGGGGATGCAGCTGACGAGGCAGCTCGAGACTGGGATGCGCGGCGCACCCTCTTGTTTTTTTCTTTGCGGCCTCCCCCCACTCTTCCCTTTCTCACTCTCCTGGCTGCCCCCTTCCCTGGAGTTTTGGATACCTTCGACTTTGCAACCTTTGAAGCCTTGGTCTTTGTGGGACCCTTTTTGGACTCTTTCCCCTTTGCACGTCTCTTGGCAGCAGCCTTGGGTGACAACCTTTGAGGTTTCCTTCCCCTTTGCTGACCCTGTTCTTCGTACTTGGGGACTTCGTGGGTAAGATCTTCATTCATGAACTCAGGCTCAGGTGGTAGTGAATATTTGGGGTCCAGAGTGACCTTCCAGCACTTGAAATTTTTGTTCAAGGGGTTCTTGGCCCAAGCAGCTGAACTCCAAGATGCCCCTGTGAGGTCAACTTGCGGACTGCCAGTATCACTGGCCTAAGTTTCAAAAATGAAACCAAGCCCCATGCAGTTGAGATTTCTTTTATATGAGAATATATGAAAGTATATGCCATATACTGAGAAAGACACGCATGCGACTCGACGAGTTCGCTCGTTCATAGGGGATGAAGGCAATGGCATAGATTTCTCCTTACATAACAAGACGACACATTAATGAAATCATTGTGGGAAATTGAATGGAAACAAACGAGCGCACCACACACATTCCCGCCAGGACTCATGCTGCACCGAATCAGCTGCCAAAGGACCCGGCCCAGCACAGCACTCCTGTGTGACAGGGACGGGGGCTTATTCTATGATCCCGACACATGCGGCGGCTAAACCATTTTAAATTTTAAACATATGTCTGACTGCATGAGCCCAACAGGCATCAAGAAATACCCAACAGGCTCAACGAAATAGCTAGCACTAAGGGTGCATGTTGATTGCAGCATCAACCCCTAATTCAGCACAGTGACTGGAACCGAGGGATGATCAGCTTTCCCAACAGCTTCGTCACAGCTACGGTCCTCGGTGTTCATAAAAAAAGGCAACCAAACACTTGCCATGGGGACATGCATAGGAACTTATCGTAAGTAAATGTTCGTTGGCTTCTGGTGATAGCCAATCATCCACCGAAGCTTGGAGTTTCCAGGGTGGAACCGTACCCCGTCAACGGTGGTTTCAATCAATTTTGAAACACACGGCATTTAGATTTGTAGCCAAACAGTAGGGTTATATGCGTGATCATGTGTCCATGATATGTATTCAAAGTTAAGGAAAACGCAGCCGAGACACATGAGGGCTGCCACCACTGGGCATCTCATCAAGGTCCTGAGTCCGTGCCACCCATATGGATCATTCTTTGGTGCTAAGTCAGTTCTTCATATACAACACATGGAGTTAATAGATGTATGAAAGCATGTGATAACTAAGCCAGTGGCTACACTTTAAACTTGTTTGGGAAGCAAACCCACTGAGTAAGTATGAAAGCATATGAAAAGTCATCACACGGTGCACACTACATGTTCTGCTGGCTTACGTGATCATATATGTTCATGAAATCTGCCTATACATGTTTATGTCCCAGAATCTGCATCAACGGAGTGCAAACTCTGACTGGCAGGAGCAAGATCCGAGAGAATCACTTCCAGATCCACTGCGTCATCCTCAAGCAGGCGGGAGACTGGTGTGTAGGGGGTGCGCCTAGCTTGAAAGTCGATTTTAGTAACCTTCCCCAAAAACCAAGTCCGGGCACCCAAAAAAAATGAGACATACCCGACATACCAATTTGTTGACCCTTTCTGGTTCTGCAACATTACTTCTATCACGCATGACTTTGATATTCTTCACCATTAAAATTTCGAACAAGGATCTGCATGTGCAGCACGGTCTCCGCAGTCAGATGAAGCGGTCATGTCCGGTTGCACCACGTTGGTCATGTCGGGTTCCACCACGTCCTGGGCTCATGAATTAGGAGCTGTAACTACATAGGTATGACGGTATGACAATTGAAACCATGGCACGTACAAGCAAGACTTGAGCTTAATCTTTTGTGAAGGCGGCCCAGGTTGCAACATGATCATGGCTTATCTAAATGCTTCACAGATTCAGTCATCAAACCTGGTTCGTGCTGGGTGGCTACCGCACTGGAAGGAACCATGTCAACATCATCATCCTGCAGAGTGTGAACAGTCTGAGACTTTCCCTGGGGGGGTGAATATGTCGTCGTGGTTTCAAAAGTCCGCTCAGTGCTCCGGAACTTCAGAACGGTGTAGCTTTTCAAAGATTTTTTTTTTTCATCCCTAGCCGAAAAAAAACACAGAGCCACAAACGTCGGCCTCTGAGTCAACAATCTCTGTGCACTCAATTGCCATCTCTTCCTTGTTGCGGGGCAGCTGCGTGACAAGGTTGGCATGGCTCATTTGGATATACCTCTGGCTATACCATGCAACATATATTTTTGTATATTTATTATATCGACCATATAGGCATGGCATAATATATAATTTTGAAGGGATTTTTGTTTTTTTTGAAGTTGGATCATCCCATTGCCAAGGAGCAAATTGTTGGGACAACATGGCACGTCCCATTCCCTTTTTGCGCGGCCAAGGTTCAAAGATGCCATCGGAAAGTGTTTGAGAGGCCGGAGCTTCACAACCAGTCGGAACAGGGATTGGGATCGATGAATCCTGAGGGTCAAGCAGCCAAGGGCCTAATAGGGACTGAAGGGTCGAACTGAAAAGCACCAGTTGTTGAAACAAACAATTGTTGAAACATGAGTAAACAGCATAATTCTCTTGTAATAGACTAGGGTCATTGAGGAGATACTGTGGGAGCACATAGGGATTTCGCACTGCAGTGGGAATCGCACGCACGGCATGCGGCTGTGGTGGCTTTCGCACATCATTGGTCGACTCACGGATCTGAGCCTTCTCAAGCTTGTTCAAAGCAAGCTCAACATCACCCTCGCAGTACTCCAACAACTCAACTGCCCTTTTGTAGTCAAGACCACTAGCCATGACCAAACCAATGGCATTCTTCTTCGACTCAGTGTCAGCATCAAGTTGGGAGAAACCTTGAGGGACACGGGGGGGTGGCCCATACATCTTCTCCATGGACTCTGACCATCTAGCAGGGCCATTTGACCCAGAAGGCAACTCCTGGACAAAGGGTGGAACATGGTGGAACTTCATTGCGTGTGATGCCTGATAATTATGATAATTATTTGTACATAATGCTATATTTCTGAGTTCGTACGCGCGTGTGCCTTTATGTGTGCGCAAACGTGATGTTCATTGTCTAGACATGCCTGTCAGTCATGAAATGCCAAGTCTCCTCGCGTGCAGACTCGGCTGAAGCCGCGCTCATGCTCTCTGGAACTGGCGCGGTGCGGGTTCTATAAAAGAAATATATGTTCATTTTCCTTCATTCCCTTCATTCCAGCCACATGCCAAGTATATAAGTAGCTATAATATAAAAGAATCCGTTGTGCCCTCGCCTGAGCGAGTGGCTTTTCGGCAAGTCTCTCGGGCCCGCCGATCGTTTGGTCTACAAACAGCTTGCAGCTGCACTGCTTCGGGTGTCAATGTAGTTTTGATCAATGATTTTCGCCAATATCTTCGTGCATATGACAAGAGGGCTTGGACTACGTAGCCTTCCTTGATTGTGTGTTCCAACGTTCATGCAATAGATAACATGGATATCCACACCATACCACATAGCACGCTAAAAAAATAAAAGAAAACAATGCTAGGCTTTAAGTGGAAGTCTTTCGAGGCCCAATCCCTTTTGTCTTTCTTGTATCTGGATTTGGAAAGGTTACCCTCTGTCTCATCATCGATGCTCGCGAAAACAGCATGCAGGTTGCCAAGCGTGATCTCCCCTGAGATGTGATCTGCATGCAGAGGCTGGCGCCGGGAAATATATACATATTGTTTTACACGTGTGTAGACATACATTTACGAACCAACAAAGCCAAAGGCACATTCAGGTGAGATATCAAAAAGTGCGAGGATCAGGGGCATAAACCTCTGCATCTCGTAGAAGGACACATGCCAGGAGTTGACATCTTCAAATAAAGTGTTCTCTGGCTTGTTGGCCTCTAAGCACTTTGTGAATGATGCCATGGGCACATGTAGCTTCACAGCACCTCAAATCCGTGAGTCAAAATCACAATAATACTCATATATAGTTGGGGTTGGGAAAACTTGGCCATGCTGACTTGGCAACTTTTGAAAGACAAGTTGCATTTGATTGCATGTTCCAGCTCAGTGAGCGGGATGGCCATTGCGAAGCCAACCCATCTACACAATATACACTTGAGCCTGTCACAATCAGCCGTTAGTGGGGTTTCCAAACTATTTTATTTTAGGTGGTCGATGCTGTTTTCACCTTGGGAACCCATAGCCCATGCAGCTCATCTCCCCCACCAAGACCCTCTTGGCCACGCCCTGTCCTCCCGGGAAGGCGCAGCGGCGCATCCAGTGAGAGCGCAAGGTTCATGATGACCAACCCAGAAGCCATGCGCCAAAAGGTGATGCAGCGCTTGTGATGTTAAACAAAGGGGTAGTGTCAATGTGGATCATGCTTGGTATATCGGCTAAAAGGTATTTTCGAAGTTTTGCACCAATGAAAACTAAATTGATCACTAAACACTTTGGCAAAACCATGAAAAAGCAGGTAAAGATCGCTAGGACCAGTGAGCCAACATCTGTCATGGTTTTGGTGGATGCATCATCTCAATTCCTGATCCCCCAGCACCCCTGGACCCTGTTGGATCGTCGGCTCTTTCCCCTGAGGGTCCGGGACCCTCGTGGTGAGGGTCGAGGGTCAGAACCCTCACTCAGAGGGTCAGAACCCTCGTGCAGAGGGACCCATGAGTCTTAGGGATGGTGGATTGGTGGCAAATATGGCAGCCCGAAGTCTTTGAGATCACCTGCAAACTGATGATTCAGTTGCAGCCAATGAGTTTCTTTCGAGGACTTCTGGACCTGTGAAGGATTATGTGAAGCCTTCAGTCAGTCCTTCACTTGTTTGGACCGGTGTTTCAAATATTCTGCTCAGTGTTATGTGTCAATTTGAAGTAATCGGAGCCGACATGAGCAGCTATGACAAATCGTTCACTCGTGTTATTGCGAAGACAGAAATCGAGCAACAGGTTGGATTGTTCAATTCGACTGGTGAACCAACATTTGGAGCTCTGGCTAACGCCAATCTTCATTTTCTGGAAGATTGCAAGTCCTTGGGGAACGATTGATCAGCCGCAGACTTGTTCAATCTGGCGGTTTTGGAGTTCGGTGGTGTAAAGTTTGAGGGCACTTGAGCTTGGAGTTGCTCGGTTCCTTAAAAGATGATCTATTTGAATCAGGATTGACTCGCACGTGTCAGGGGCAGCTCTTTCTTTTCCACACCTTCCCATATGTCATCGGTTCTTATACGTATTCTTGTTGGCTGTTCCCATATATCCTCCCTTGAAAAACCCATGAATTGAGGACTTGAGCACCTCAAAAAAAAAGGACAAATGCATACACGTGCTATGTTGCCAGTTACAAAATGTATTAAAATGTCATAACTTGGGAATTCCCCAAAAAATGGTGGTCGGGTCCTTCCCAGTTTTCCCAGGAGAATGTGACCGCCTGGAAGCTGCCCATAGTGTTCCTGGGGATGAGCCGCGGCTTGGATTCACTTGAGGATTCTGGATGAAAAAACATCTTTAGATGAAAAATGGGATGAACAAATTGAAGATTGAGTTTTGAAAGACCCCAATGTTTGGCTGTTTGAGTCTT